TAAGACAGAACAAAACTCCTACTTTTGAAATTCAGGTCTAATGAGGTCTAAGCCCAATGGAAATTTTAATAAATGAAAGTTATGTTTCTCAGATGAAAATCAAAGCCTATATCACAGTGTCACAATATTTTAATGCTATCTTTTGATAAAAAGCGACAGAATCTTGCAAATGCTTTCTTATCCTGAGACAGAACAAAACTCTAGCTTTTGAAATTCAGGTCTAATGAGGTCTAAGCCCAATGGAAGTTTTAATAAATGAAAGTATGTTTCTCAGATGAAAATCAAAGCCGATATCACAGTGTCACAATATTTTAATGCTATCTTTTGATAAAAAGCGACAGAATTTTGCAAATGCTTTCTTATCCTGAGACAAAACAAAACTCTAGCTTTTGAAATTCAGGTCTAATGAGGTCTAAGCCCAATGGAAGTTTTAATAAATGAAAGTATGTTTCTCAGATGAAAATCAAAGCCGATATCACAGTGTCACAATATTTTAACGCTTTCTTTTGATATAAAGCGACAGAATCTTGCAAGTGCTTTCTTATCCTAAGACAGAACAAAACTCCTACTTTTGAAATTCAGGTCTAATGAGGTCTAAGCCCAATGGAAATTTTAATAAATGAAAGTTACGTTTCTCAGATGAAAATCAAAGCCGATATCACAGTGTCACAATATTTTAATGCTTTATTTTGATATAAAGCGACAGAATCTTGCAAATGCTTTCTTATCCTAAGACAGAACAAAACTCCTACTTTTGAAATTCAGGTCTAATGAGGTCTAAGCCCAATGGAAATTTAAATAAATGAAAGTTACGTTTCTCAGATGAAAATCAAGGCCGATATCACAGTGTCACAATATTTTAACGCTTTCTTTTGATATAAAGCGACAGAATCTTGCAAGTGCTTTCTAATCCTAAGACAGAACAAAACTCCTACTTTTGAAATTCAGGTCTAATGAGGTCTAAGCCCAATGGAAGTTTTAATAAATGAAAGTATGTTTCTCAGATGAAAATCAAAGCCGATATCACAGTGTCACAATATTTTAACGCTTTCTTTTGATATAAAGCGACAGAATCTTGCAAGTGCTATCTTATCCTGAGACAGAACAAAACTCTAGCTTTTGAAATTCAGGTCTAATGAGGTCTAAGCCCAATGGAAATTTTAATAAATGAAAGTTACGTTTCTCAGATGAAAATCAAAGCCGATATCACAGTGTCACAATATTTTAATGCTTTCTTTTGATATAAAGTGACAGAATCTTGCAAGTGCTTTCTTATCCTAAGACAGAACAAAACTCCTAATTTTGAAATTCAGGTCTAATGAGGTCTAAGCCCAATGGGAATTTTAATAAATGAAAAGTATGTTTCTCAGATGAAAATCAAAGCCGATATCACAGTGTCACAATATTTTAACGCATTCTTTTGATATAAAGCGACAGAATCTTGCAAGTGCTTTCTTATCCTAAGACAGAACAAAACTCCTTCTTTTGAAATTCAGGTCTACTGAGGTCTAAGCCCAATGGAAATTTAAATAAATGAAAGTTACGTTTCTCAGATGAAAATCAAAGCCGATATCACAGTGTCACAATATTTTAACGCTTTCTTTTGATATAAAGCGACAGAATCTTGCAAGTGCTTTCTTATACTGAGACAGAACAAAACTCCTACTTTTGAAATTCAGGTCTAATGAGGTCTAAGCCCAATGGAAATTTAAATAAATGAAAGTTTAGTTTCTCAGATGAAAATCAAAGCCGATATCACAGTGTCACAATATTTTAACGCATTCTTTTGATATACAGCGACAGAATGTTGCAAGTGCTTTCTTATCCTAAGACAGAACAAAACTCCTACTTTTGAAATTCAGGTCTAATGAGGTCTAAGCCCAATGGAAATTTTAATAAATGAAAGTTACGTTTCTCAGATGAAAATCGAAGCCGATATCACAGTGTCACAATATTTTAATGCTTTCTTTTGATATAAAGCGACAGAATCTTGCAAGTGCTTTCTTATCGTAAGACAGAACAAAACTCCTACTTTTGAAATTCAGGTCTAATGAGGTCTAAGCCCAATGGAAATTTAAATAAATGAAAGTTACGTTTCTCAGATGAAAATCGAGGCCGATATCACAGTGTCACAATATTTTAATGCTTTCTTTTGATATAAAGCGACAGAATCTTGCAAGTGCTTTCTTATCCTAAGACAGAACAAAACTCCTACTTTTGAAAATCAGGTCTAATGAGGTCTAAGCCCAATGGAAATTTAAATAAATGAAAGTTTAGTTTCTCAGATGAAAATCAAAGCCGATATCACAGTGTCACAATATTTTAACGCATTCTTTTGATATACAGCGACAGAATGTTGCAAGTGCTTTCTTATCCTAAGACAGAACAAAACTCCTACTTTTGAAATTCAGGTCTAATGAGGTCTAAGCCCAATGGAAATTTTAATAAATGAAAGTTATGTTTCTCAGATGAAAATCAAAGCCGATATCACAGTGTCACAATATTTTAACGCTTTCTTTTGATATAAAGCGACAGAATCTTGCAAGTGTTTTCTTATCCTAAGACAGAACAAAACTCCTACTTTTGAAATACAGGTCTAATGAGGTCTAAGCCCAATGGAAATTTTAATAAATGAAAGTTATGTTTCTCAGATGAAAATCAAAGCCGATATCACAGTGTCACAATATTTTAACGCTTTCTTTTGATATAAAGCGACAGAATCTTGCAAGTGCTTTCTTATCCTAAGACAGAACAAAACTCCTACTTTTGAAATTCAGGTCTAATGAGGTCTAAGCCCAATGGAAATTTTAATAAATGAAAGTTACGTTTCTCAGATGAAAATCGAAGCCGATATCACAGTGTCACAATATTTTAATGCTTTCTTTTGATATAAAACGACAGAATCTTGCAAGTGCTTTCTTATCCTAAGACAGAACAAAACTCCTACTTTTGAAATTCAGGTCTAATGAGGTCTAAGCCCAATGGAAATTTAAATAAATGAAAGTTACGTTTCTCAGATGAAAATCGAGGCCGATATCACAGTGTCACAATATTTTAATGCTTTCTTTTGATATAAAGCGACAGAATCTTGCAAGTGCTTTCTTATCCTAAGACAGAACAAAACTCCTACTTTTGAAATTCAGGTCTAATGAGGTCTAAGCCCAATGGAAATTTAAATAAATGAAAGTTTAGTTTCTCAGATGAAAATCAAAGCCGATATCACAGTGTCACAATATTTTAACGCATTCTTTTGATATACAGCGACAGAATGTTGCAAGTGCTTTCTTATCCTAAGACAGAACAAAACTCCTACTTTTGAAATTCAGGTCTAATGAGGTCTAAGCCCAATGGAAATTTTAATAAATGAAAGTTATGTTTCTCAGATGAAAATCAAAGCCGATATCACAGTGTCACAATATTTTAACGCTTTCTTTTGATATAAAGCGACAGAATCTTGCAAGTGCTTTCTTATCCTGAGACAGAACAAAACTCTAGCTTTTGAAATTCAGGTCTAATGAGGTCTAAGCCCAATGGAAATTTTAATAAATGAAAGTTCCTTCTCAGATGAAAATCAAAGCCGATATCACAGTGTCACAATATTTTAACGCTTTCTTTTGATATAAAGTGACAGAATCTTGCAAGTGCTTTCTTGTCCTGAAACAGAACAAAACTCTAGCTTTTGAAATTCAGGACTAATGAGGTCTAAGCCCAATGGAAATTTTATAAATGAAAGCTTCGTTTTTCAGATTGAAATAAAGCAGAAATGTACGTGTCAAATTATTTTAGCGCTCGCTTTGGATATCGAATTTCAGAATCTGGCCAGTGCTTTATAGTCCTGAGAAACAACAGAACTCTAGCTTTTGAAATTCAGGTCTAATCAGGTCTTAGCCGAATGGAAATTTTAATAAATGAAAGCTTCGTTTTTGAGATAAAAATAAATGCAGAAATTCACGTGTAAAATTAATTTTACGCTTGCAATGGAAATCAAGTAACAGAATCTTGCCAGCGCTTTATTATTCTGAGAAACAACAGGGGAAAAATGTTTTTTAGTTTCTGAAATTCAGGTCTCTGCTGATTGGCAGTGTGAGCTTGTAATTTATTTGTGTCTCAAGTCGGACGTTTTGCATTTTGCGCTATCACATTGATATAGTATAATTCATAATAATTATAAATTGTATTGCAAGAGAAATAAAAATCAATTTTGATAATGTATTTTCATCGCGGAATGCAAATAAAACTTTTCAGATTTGGTCGATTTGGAGCTTCACCGGGGGCATTGTTTTTGGCTCTAGTTCTAGAGCTCAAGAAACGCTACAATATTCCCTTATATGAGAAAGGTGGACATATTGGTTTCTTTTCCACAATAAAGATCAACGTAAATTACTATGCAGGCAACGATTGGATTTTAATTGAATTAAAATTTGAATTACCACAGTTAATTGTGGATATTTACATTCCTCAAATTACTACTTTTGATCACTTTTATCATCGGTTCAAAATTTCTAGAATTCAAATTGCTCCCATGGCCCAAGTTCAAGGACAAGCCAGAGGACGCGGACGACCACGGCGGCCTCCGCCCCCGCCTGCAGTTCAAATGCAACCTCCGCCACAGATGAACAACACGTGCGTCGGATTGATCAACATCACGGACATCCACATCCTCATCGGTGGCAGAGGAGGTTGAGGCAGAGGAGATGTCACGCTACTGACGTGGCTGGGCACCCTTTGCCAGCTAGATTTGACGCTCTGCGCATTGTACTACGCGTTCGGTTTTGGATATAATATTATATAAACTTAATTAAAATAATTCCTATCAATTTCTTTTTAACCAGCTGCCCCAGATAAAAAATTCAGTTACATGGCCCTCACCACCAGGGTTACCACAGCCATAGTTGCAGCCCTCTCTTGTCTCAATTTACTGAAGACTCATCTAAGGTACTGAATTAAAAATGTTTTATTTAATCTTCGCCGCCCTTTTTTACACATATGTTGCGTCATTTTTTCAGGTAACTTTGTATACATAAGAATTGTTATTCATTGTTTTTTAACCAGCTGGGCACCAGGAAGAATTCAGCTATCTCACGATGGCTACAAAAGTTGTCACCGCCGGATGCGCTATCCAGACTTTTCTCAATTTACTGAAAAACTTCCTTGGCTTCTGAATAAATTTTTTTATTTCATCATTGCTGCCCTTTTGATAATTTGAACATTTTACCCAAATTTTGATTTGATTACACAGGCGAATCCTCAGAAAAAGAATGAAACATTTAAACCCGAATTTGGAAAATTTTTCTCCTCAGCAACTAATTTTCCTTTGTTGATTATCATGGGTTATTTGATGATTTTGTATGTCTTTTTTAAAGAATCGAACTCTGTTATGAGAATCCTATTATTTTGAACAATTTTTTTAATTGTTTCAATATCTGTGTACCGATACTGCTATTTATAATAACGTAATATTTATTAATATTTGTACTTACATTACGCAGTACAGGAAAATCACAGTCTTCCCTCTTAAAACTTCAACTTCTGCATTTACACCCAGATAAATTTCATCCTTCACAAGCAAAGTCGAAAAGTTTCCGAGGAATCATTCGCGCTGCAACTAAAGCAATTGTCTTAGTACCAGAATGTCATCTCATGTGACTGTCGTAGTACTGTGGTGTTCAAATTCCCAACTGCCCTGCCGAAAAAGCGCCAGTTCAGGTTGTTGGCCGCAATGTTTGGCGCGTTGTTACTGTTGGTGCCATGGAAGCAGCAGCGAGAAGCCAATCACGGTCACAAAAATGCGTGATTTGCTCAACCAGCTTTTAGTACTCTGGCGAATCTTCGTGCAGGGTGATGCAAGTGACCCTGTTCGAGGTTGGTTGGTTCCACAGAAGAGATTCAAGAGTAGGGAAGAAACGAATCTGGGTGGGGTTGGCGGTAATGAAGTTGCCAGTTATCTCATCCCTGAAAGGGGAACAAAATGTTATGAATTTACGACAATTTACTAGAAAATTATATTAAAAGTAAATAAATGAAAGCTCAAATATTAATAAATATAATGCTAATTTTTTAACAATAAAAATAATAAAAAAATAATTTCACTAACATTTATTAAATAATTATTCTTATGCACAGGGATAATATAATATATGTGGCACCAATTTATTAATTTTAATAATAATCAATTTCTGTAACATTTAATAAAGGCTTAAACGTAGTGTTGCGTTCAAGTCAAACCAAGGAAATTAAGAGATGTAATATAATTAAGTTGACATTCTCACATTTTAAATTAAGCTGCTATCCTCCTGCTTTGGTTTTGCTGTCGCTTGTCCGCAATTTCTTTCCTGTTGCTATGTTGCCTGAATGGCCTGGAATTAAGATTATATAAATTGAATTGAAAACTGAAATCAGACGAGATTTATGTATATACAAATTGACAGAGGCACCCCTATTAAGTAATGTAAATTGAATTTGTCAAGGGTGAGGAGTCTATAGGTGTCTGTAATAAGACTTACCAATAAGCCGCGTGTGAAGGACTGGGAACACCAAAAATCAATTATCTATCTTTAATTCTGATCATATTGTGTACAGATACTAAAATTTATGCCGGACAAACGAATGGATTGACAAAAAATGAGTTTTAATATGAATCAGAATCTGAACAAAACTTGAACGCAATGTTTTGTTTTGTTATTGCTGGCCACAGGTTGTTGAAGAGATGTTTTAGAAAGGAGACATATGAATGAACTTGGAATGAACGTCTATTCGCTATTTTATTGGTGCATGAAAGATTGAGCGAAGAGAGAGTCGCGGACAAACTACAAAATACCACGAAAGAGGACTTTGTATTGGCTATTGAAATCAGGTTTCTTGCTTTGTTAACGACTCCTCTCCACAACCCCTCCTGAATCATCTGTTCAGGCGGCGCCAGAAGCGCCACTGTTGAGTCAACCAGCCGCTCCAATTAAAAATTTTCAAAACTGGGCAGCAGCGGCACCGATTTCGGCCTAGCTCGCGTCGGCGGTCGATCGAATTTTCAAACAAATACCACCAAGGGATTCAGCGGATTTTTTACTATTTATAAATCCATTTGCAGCTTCAAAAAATCGAGAGTTTATGTGAGTTTATGTATGTAGTCCTTATCGCCCTCCCGGTGAAAATGTAAACAAAATATATGTAACCTCTTTTTTGTTTTCAGAAATTTCAGTGCCGCTCTCCTGAAGTGCAAGTCAGAAATTAATTATGGCTGATTTTGGTCTTCCCGTATCTGTGACGCCGGAGAGTATGGTTTTGACGATGCCGCTGTACTTGTTTGCAGACCCTCAGCAAAGTGTTTCCAGCACAAACAATAAAATCAATGCGCTCAGAAAATTCACCCAGGCATCAGACAGCAACACGCTGTGGTACAAATTCATTGTAATTCATCCTGATTCAAATGTTACAGGCCGAAAACTAAAAGTAGCTTTTGTACCTTTAGGTCAGAAACTCCACTGACTACACAAAAGAATTTATCTTGAGAAATTTGCTGGATAATGTTTCATCTAAATATGTTCCTATCAAGGTAAAAATACAAAGAATTTCTAATAAAAATATTATGTCAAACATTTTTCTTTGTATATAGTTCTTCACCGAGAAAGGAGATAGCATTTTCTACGCAAAATTCTGCTTGGAACCAGTTATGTCTTACATTAGACAGAATCTTACGGTTCGTGTTCCTCTCAATAAAGTACTGGTGAGTAATGCTTGATTGCGTAACTTTGGAAAAAAAAATTAATTTGTGATTTTCTAGCTGAAATTAGAGATTGAAGTTGGCACAAAAGATGAGGTTCCTGACTTAAATATTAATGATCTAGTTGCTCTGGCAGTGCAAAGACGAGTTGCATCGTCGTTTACAGCTCTCGACTTGTCCAGTTTTCACACAGATCCAGGTTTTTGTGTGCTTAAAATATGGTAGAGTGATGCTAATGATGATTTATTTCAGAGCTTGAAGCCTACTGCTTTTTCCCTTTAAGCATTTTCAACAATTTGCAGAAAGTGATCAAATGCGCTGACCATTTTGCAGTCACCCCTTTCACCAGTCTCGACTTGTCCAGGAATAAAATAAAGATTATCCACGGCTGCTTCCAAGAGAAACTCACCAACTTCATGAACTTGCGAGTGCTAAAAGCCAGAGACAATGAAGTGAGAAAAAATTTAAATTCCTAGCTTTGTCAAACTTACATAATATATAATTTCAGCTCTCAATGTCGTCCATGCAAGCAATCACACATCTACCTCTGTTGGATCTCGAACTCGACGGCAATCCACTGTGCGAACTTTACGAGAAGGAACTTGAATATGTCAAGTAATTTGATTAATCAATTTTATCAAGTTGTAATTAATGTTTGATTATTTTCAGAGACATTCAGGGCATGTTTCCGTCACTCAAAACTCTAGTATGTCATAAAAAAGAGAAATATAGCATTTAATTTTTATTGTCTTAAAACAGGATGGTTGCCCGTTATCATCACAGGGAATTTTCATAGTTCGCCAGTTCTTCTGCAAACAGCCGTCGGCGCAGCCGTTCCTGGAGCAGTTTTTGACGCACTATTACAGCATCTTTGACAGTGACAACCGACACTTGCTGCTTGGACTTTATCAGTCGGACTCTACATTCTCCCTCACAAGCACATTCTTGCCAGGACAATCAACATCAACCAATGCAAAGTAAAGAATGTGGCATTTTTTTAGCCCAATTTAATTATTTGAATTTTCTTTGCAGCTTAAATGACTATCTAAGTGAGAGTAGGAACATATTGAAGCTTTGCGATTTGACAAAAACAGACGACCTTCTTTACAAAGGCAACAAGCAGATCTTAGAGTTTTTGAAAAAGTTCCCTAAAACTCAACACGACCCAACCTCGTTTACTGCTGACGTGTTGGTTTTTGAGGTTTTAATAATTCTTGATATGTTGGATTTGTATAAAAATATTTTTAAAACAGCCCACCCATATTAAGATCTCCGTAACAGGACTGTTCCGCGAGCCGCATAACAACTTTGCGTCCGTCAGGTTTTTCAAGAGGAATTTCGTCCTGCAGTACTTCAACAAAGTCTATCTGATTTTGAATGACATGATGTTCATAACCAACTGCACTTCGGAACAAGCTGTGGTAAATCACCAATGATCAATGCACCCGACTAAAAAAATAATTCATTTTTTCTCAACAGAGCGCCTTTAGAGTCAAACACCCCGAACCTGCTGATCCCCTTGACTTGCACCTCACAACAAGATCCACACACATTCCTCTCTCAAATGAGCAAAAGGTCAAGATGGTGGAGAAAATATCTGACATAACCAACATGAATCAAGAATGGGGACGAAGGTAACGAAATTTAATTTTTTAAAGAATTATAAAAAATAACGCAACCTTTAGGTGTCTGGAGGATGTGCAGTACGACCTTAGGAACGCCCTTGTATATTTCCAAAAGCACTACGAGGAAAAATCCATACCAAGCGAGGCATTTCTTAAATGACCCAGCTTGGAGATTATAAAAAAAATATTATATTGTTAATGTGTCCCTTTCCTTTATTACAATTAGTTAAATATCTACGCTAGGGATAAATATCATTTTACTGTTTGATGTGTTCAGATGTGTTAAATAAAAATTGATTTTCTCTATTTATATGTAAATTTGTTTCTTATATTATTTTGGAGTTTCAAATTTACAAAAATGCGTCGCTGGGAATTAACTCTTGGTTGTAATACTGCTGGAAGTAAATTAGTGCGTTTCGCAGATCCCATTTCATATCATCAAGGCACCTAATGAGATAGTAAATTAGTGATGAAATTGTCTTTGAAGGCAATTGTTACTTTTTGCTCCAGCGAACATTCATTCCCGTCACGTCTGAAAGTTTTTTCATCAATCCAAGTTTCTGCTCATCTGTGAATACAGTGAGTCTAGGAATGGATGACAGGTATAAATCGAGAACAGGCGCCTCCTCGACGGATTTGCAAAGAGTCTGCAAAAAATTTGATTAAATTTTCAATTAAATAATTATTAACAGAGCCCATTACGTTTGCTTGGGCTGTTGTGCAGTTGCAAATGTAAAGAAGTTCGTTGACTATAAGGAAGAAGCTGCTGAAGTTGACAAGGTGGAAGATTCTTCTGAAGAACCTTGGTGATGTTTCAGGATTGTCTTTCTCTTTGAAAACTCCACTAACACAGAAATGCACATTTCGCTCCTTCAATATTAGAAATCATTAAATAAGCATAAAAAATATATTAGCAAAAAATCACATTGTAATTAATGATATCGACGTTGAATGAGGATGAGTCATGTTCTGTTGCTGGCAAGCTCTGACAAAACTCAATTATGGGTTTGCATCCTTCGTGAATCAATTTCTCAGATTTGCTCATGTCACTTATCCGTTTAATGTTTCGACTTTGTAGCAAAAAGGATGACAAACTAGACAAAATAATAAATCAATCATTGTAAAAATCAAATGTTTCAATTTATAAACTAACTTTGCATTGTCAGAGGTGGTCTGGTCGTCGAGAAATGTGCTCGTCATTGACAGAAGCGCCTTCGAGTGGTACAATCCTTGCAAAAGGTCTCTTCGCTCACTGTCAAAGAGACTGAAGAAGTGGGTTAGGAATTGTCTTGTAAAGTCTTGAGCTTCGGGCATTGGAAAGTAGTGAGGCTTTGAGCTTGGTGCATTGGAAGAAATAATACGACGTCCATCCTATAAATCAGTATTAAATCCACGCACTATTCACAAAAATTCTAAAATACTAAAAATTCCAAATTTGGCCAAATTTTTAGAATGTCCCTGAAATTTGAGATTATATTGTTCAATCAATATGGAACCTAAAAACAAAGTGTTTCCTCACATAATATATTCCTTCTCATTGTCGTAGAAACTGCACAGTGGATTTCCATCCAAATACACATTCCTCAGTGGCATAAAAGCTAAATTGAAGAGAGATGACATGTGGAGCTGCGCAGAAAGGCAAATATAAAAAAGCAGAAAAGTTTATGTCAAAAGGAGCACCTGATTGTTCCTGAGATCCAGAGTGTGCACTTTTCCGAATGCTTCGACATACTTAGCAACTTCGACTTTGCTGGAACTAAATGATGCTATTCTGTTGTTTGACAAATCGAGTGAGACTAGAGATTTGCAAACCAACGAAGAAAGGCAAGTGCAAATTTTTTCGAAATTCCATTGCAATCTTAGAGGAAAGAACAGCAGCTCCTTCTCAAGTTCTGATAATAAAAAAATAAATAAATAAATAGAGGCTGAATATTTTGCAGATATCATACCTTCAGTCTTATGAAATTGTGACAAATTCAAGTGGGTAGCGTCTTCTTGTAACCTCTGTCCAAGCACATTCATGAGGAAACTTCTCACAAAATATGACTTATCCAACTTATCCAATTTAAATTCATCACAGCCAACTTCTATATGCATATCAAACTGAAATTTTAAAGCAGTTAAGTATTGCTCAAAAGTACATGCAGAACTTCGTACTACTCCTTTCGAAGTATTTATTTTCAGATTTCTCCTCATGAAAATTTCAATTACAAGTGTACAGTCAGTAGAGTAAAATACGCAGTCATCTTCGTCGATGTGAAACTGAAAATATATTAGCAAAATGCATAATATATCAAGTATAAAAAAAAAAAAACTACTACCTTGTAAATAAGAAACTTGCAAAACGTTGTTGAGAGGGAGTCTACAAGGGTGAAAAGTAGCTCTTCCTTTCCAAGCACTTTGCTTGTTTTGAGAATCTGGAAAGTTCAAAACTTATTGAAATAAAATTAATCAACGGCACAAAAAGAACTTACGACAAATTTGGTCCACAAATGACATTCTGCTTTTTCCATGATGGCTTTCAGGGTAGCGATTCTATTTGAGATAATCATGTGTATTACACTCTTCGAAGATTTGTCCGGCGCAAACCAAACTGATTGTCTGGTCTTTGGTTCTGTGGCCACTTCATTTGGAACTACAGGCTCATCTGAAACTTCAGGTGCACTTTCCACCACATTTTCCAAGTCCAAAATCTGGACATAATTCTCGTAACCAGTAGAAGTGGACGGTGGCGGTTCTGAGATTGTTACTGTCTCAGGGGCCGGTTCCTTCTTCTCTTTGATGTTTTGAAATATTGTGGTGTCTGACATGAATGCCTGTTTGATGTGCAAGGGAAGCATTTGGAGGCCCACCGAGGCATCTTTTGACACCACGTCTTCCTCGTCTTCCAACAGAGAATTCAATCTGTTTTCTTCCAAAGCCTCAGACGCTTGCAAATCCGTCAGTTTTTTGTACCTCCGAGGATAGTCTTTGGCAAACTTTGCGATGGTCAGCTTCTCTTGATCTGCAAGCATGTAGAAGTTCATGCCTGGGTTGCACAGGTAGTGCAAGTTGCCTCCTGTGAGGAAGCAGAACGCCAGGCTGATGGGATCGGATGGAAAAAGAGGCTCCTTTGAATAGTGGTGAACTTTGAGATGTTGCCACATTTTCAAGATGAATTGAGCTCGAAATCTGTAAATATATTTACAAATGAACATATTTAATAGACATCAAAAAAAAATTAATGCATACTTTGTTGCACAGTACTGGGCATAGGGCGTGAGTTTCTTGAAAGGTGAGATGTAGAGCAAGTAGGCTGCCTCGTCCAAAGTGATGGGCTTTATTCCCTCCGATTGCAAGATCTGCACTTGGTACTCAATCTTGACCTTCTCTTTGACCAGTTTGGCCAAAGCTGGGCACAGACATTCGAACCCTAGGTCGTAGTCGTTCCGAGCTTGCTGCTCCAGCAGAAGTTTGTAGCGACTTTTGTCCTCGACGCCTGTGATTTTATTCAATCTTTGGTCAAACTCCGAATTCTTTCCTCCCAACCGGCTGAACTGGACCGATTTTGTTGCCACGTCAAAGCAAATTTTCTGAATCTCCTGCAAGATGGTGTTATTGGCACTTTTGAAATTGTACTCGCCCTTGCATGCAACAAGGAAGGAGCGTAACAGTTGTCGTTCTGTGAGGGTCAAACACATGTACTCTTGGGAGAAAATGATTTGTGTGAAGTGAGTGAGTTTGGAGGGTGAGAATTTAAAGGTGACCGGATTGTTTGGGTCACCATTGGTGAACTCTCCGTCCATCAGCAAGAGCATCTCGTTCCAAAATCTCATCCCATAGGTTCTTCGGTCTTTGATGGCGTTCCACACATCAGCACGCTGATTGCCGTTCAAGTTGTGCAAATCCTTGCCGTGTAAAATTTGAGACTGTTCGTTCAGATATGGCAGCGCGTTTTTTACAGGCTGAAACCTTTGTTTTTCGGCTGCCAGTTCTGCCGCCTCAGCACTCCGGCTGGTGGAGGGCGCAACTCCTGAGGCACTGGTCACGGTCGGCAAAGAGTATGTTTTCGGAGGTCCCTCCAGGCCCCGCAGCCACGGGTTGAAGGGCTTTTTCTGCTTGTTGCTGGGCTGTTGTTCTCCGCTTTTTGCAGCTCTGTTTTTGTTCTTTCTCCTAGCCATGTTTCTCCGTCTCACATCAATTTGGCCTCTTTTTTTATGACTGGAAAAAGAAAATATATGAATGAATTTATCGAATTTATTGAACGACACAAGACATAATTAAGTAGTAACATACAATTTTGGCCTTTAAAATATACTTACAATTCTTCCCTTTTCCCATAAAAGAAAAACACGCAGTTCCAGAATTATAAATGAGCAGGGCCCAGAAAAGAATTGCAAGTTATTATAACCAATAATTTAATGTCTTCTAATTCTTTACGAGTTATAAATATAAGTTATTTGCCTTACACTTACAAAAATTTGATGAGATCAGGCCTTATTGATGCTTAATCGGTGAATAAAAGTAACTACAATCCTTGCTATCCTCCTTAACCTCCGCCTCAGGTAAAAAGCAACGCAATTAACGCAACAAGAGTGACAAGAGTATGATGTGATGAAGACCTTTGACTTTTTTTTATTTGTTTACCCATTTAGTTCTGACCGGCACACATCAGGGGCGCTGGCGGCGCTACTCTGGGTCAAGAAGCTCAGGGGTATTTTACTTTTTCTTTTGCAAAAGAGACTGCCAAATTCAACAAGAGCCAGATTTTATGAAAATTTATCTTTATAAATGATTTCAAAAATGTTCATAACCTCATGCTTTAAAAATAAAAAATGAACTACTGAAAACTCGTTCTGGATTACAAGAAATAATATCATATAAGAAATAATATCATAATACCAAAAAGCCAGAAATAAATAATTCACCTTATTTTGTTTTAGTGTGTAAAATGAATATATATACAAATTAATTAACAATAACTAAAATAAATGCATGGCGGAGATCGTAAATAAAAAGATGCAATGCAATTAGAAACATTAATTTTTTCTGGTAAAATAAATCAAGTTTCTTATATTGTGTTTTACTTATTATGTATTTTTATTAGAAAAAATTTGACCAGACGTTACTTAGGAAAGCTAAGAGCAAACAAGAGAGCATAATCAATCATTCAATCATCCACTAGTCTGCAGTGCTAGTTGACGAGTCAGTCAAGGTCATATTTGTAAATGCTTCCCCTGGCACCTGCTGTTCTTCGTACAGTCTTTGAAAGTAAATCAAGGCATTCCTAAAGTCCCAGTCCACGTCAGCTAGACACCTTATCATAATGAAGAAACTTGTAGATTATTTTTCAAAGTCTAATTGAGGATTACTTTTTGGACCATTCCTTCTTCATTTCAGTCACTTCACTTAGTTTATTTGCCATCCTGTCTTTTTCTGCCTCCGTCAAATCTCGCTCTTTGGATTTCGTGTTCATAAAAAGGTCTAGACTTGAATCAGACGGTGGCCTGTTCTTTGAACTTGCCTCTCTCTGCTGTTAAAAACAATTAAAATGTTATTGCTTATTAACACAACTTGAAAAAAAACTCGCCTTATTCTGCTCAGTTGTGCAGTTAGTCACAAACAGCATTTCATTGCTGATGACAAATGAATCGCCCACTTGCTTCAGGACAAAAACTCTGTAGAAGTGTCTCGGGCTTGTGTCTTCTCGTTGAGATTCTTTGAACAAGCCAGAAACCGCCAACTTTACATGCCGAGGCTAAAAATAATATGAAAATTATTAACGTTATTTTCATTTCGCTGTTAATTGTTTACTGTAAATAATGTCACATCTACTGTGAATGAGGCATCATCATGTTCAGTTGCTGGGAAGGTTTTCATGTACTGGACGACTCTTGAATTTCCAACAACCAAAAGTTTGTTGATTTTTTCTAAGTCACTGAACTTCTTCATGTTCCTACTGCAGTCCAAGTACTTGTCCAAACTAATCTGGCCTTGTTAAAAGTTGTCAAAATTAATTTCAATGCATACTTTGCTGATGTGGTGGTTGATTGACTTTGCAAAACTGTGCTTGTGAGAGAGAAGAGAGCTTCTTCATGGTAAAGTCCTCTCAGGAGATCACGGCGATCACTGTCAAAAATGCTGAAGTACTGTCTGGTGAACTGCTCGGCAAACGCTTTTGAATTTGGGTCACAAAAGTAATACAACAGCTTTTCAGAGAGCTTGCAGCCATCCTTGAAAAATATTTAAGTCAGCTTGGAACAAAATACTAATGCAGTATCTTACCAAGACTTCCAACGAAGGAAATACTCCAGTCACAAATCTATAAGAATAGCAATTTGTGTTACTATTTATTCCAAATAAATAGATAAGACTTAGATGCTTACTCAACATATCCTTTGGGAGAACTAAACTCGCTACAAATAGGATTGCCATCCAGGTGCAGTTCTTTGACATTAAAAGTTTCAGGGCCCGACATAATCCTCGACATTGCTGCCATGCTTCTTTTTGTAATCTACAAATTAGATATTAGTTAGCATAAATTTAGAAACATGCAGCTTTATTTAACCTTGTTGTTTCGAGCATCAACTTTTGTAACTGATGCAAACACTGGCTCTTTGATAGAAAAAATCAAGTTCAGATCATCAAGGTCATTGTCGGCAAGACTGACAGTGGTTAGGGTGGACGACTCGAAGAACATGATGAGTCGTAGGACTTTCACTAGATTGTTTTGACGATTAAGAGGAAAGAAGCAATATCGAGCCAGATCTAAAATAAAAATCTTAGTAACAATTTTCATTAGACAGAAAATTCCAATCGTGCCTGGATGCTGATGAAATGATGACAAATCCACGTTGCCAGCCTTGATTCTCCTTCGGATTGCTTCAAAAATGAGATCATTGACAGGGAAAGGAGTCAGCTTGCTATCCTTAGTCCCAATTTCAATTTCTAAATTTAACTGTAAAAATATTGAAATAAGACGTGATGAATCACTGCAATCAACAACAAACATGAAACTATACCTGCAAGGACTTCTCCTGAACATTAACTATCAAGTTGTGGTCCAAGAAATGTAAAATTGCATCAGATGCATTTTTCACAAAGAAAGCAGCATCATTCTGCACTCTGTGGAACTAAAGAATTTTGAATATAAATTTAATATATTCATATTTTATTTTACTCACCCACACAGGCACAAATGAATTAACTTTGTGCGAAAGCGCACTCAGTGTTGCGTTGAGCAGGAACTCTTCCGAGTGATCACGACAATTTTTGATCTATTAAAAATTCAAGAATTTAAAAAAGGATACTCATATCGGAAAAGTTTTTACCGTAAACTTAGACCAAAGTCTGTCAGCGCCTTTTTTCTTTAAAAATACTGACAAGATGCTTGCTTTGATTTTGTTCACTAGAGGAGCACGCTCATCTGACTCTGGTTTGAGGGTGCAAGGAACTTCGTTTATGTTCTCCAGTTCTTTTACGACTTTGATCGTTTCAATTTCATCCTAAAAGTGAAGAGAATGTGAAGAATGATAAAAATTCACAATTACTGGCATACCTCTGATTTAGTTTCAACGTCTTTCTCTTCAGGTTTGTGAGGAGGTGATTCCGACTCGCAAATGTTTGCTACGGGCTGGAATGAGCTGACAAAAGTCGGAGGGCTTTTCTCGACCTTTTCCTTTGGGTTTTCAAACTCTTCGTAAATTTTCATTCTGACAAATCCACTTGGAGAGACCATGGCACCAGGCGAGTCTGCGTTGCATGGTACAAGGTCACTTTTAGGAATGCCGGCACAAGTTCTATACCGACAGTAGCTGATGGTGTGTCCCTGCAGGTGACAGCGTTGGCAGATGCGAATATTCGTAACAATCTTTGGCATCAAACTTTCTTGTTTTTCCAAAAGATCTGAAAATTATTTTTACTTCAGATAAAAGTATATAAAATGAAATTAATATAACAATAATAAAACTAAGCTCAAATCAGGCTTTCCCTCGTTAGGAAAATTGTTTTTATTCACAAGCAAATTGAGCCATTTGTTTCTTGATAAAAACCATTTTTCCAACGAGGAAAAGCCCGATATCTTCATTTCCATGATCATCTCTTTGAGTGTCAATTTCTTCAAGCAAATATAAATTTTCTCGACTTACCTCCTTCATACTGGCCTTCTGCAGACGCGCTGCTCCGATTGGGAGGAATTAGGGCCGTTGGTTTATCCATGAGTGGTGTCGGTTCTGCGTCCATGGGAGTTTCTTTCGCAGGCGCTTTTTCAGCCCGAGCTTCCAACTGCAGATTAGAGCTGACTGATGGCGACTGAAGGGGCGCCGCGTTTCCTGCTGAGCCTGCAGCTTGTTCGGAATGTTGGATCGGAGTGTGGAAAATAGGTGGGGAGGCACATGGTTCTGGAGACAGTCTTTCCAGTGCTGCTCTCTGGGCAGCTTCAAAGTTGAACTTTAAGGCAAATTTCATGACCCGCCTGCGTTCGGAGCCTGCCAATTCTGCAAAGGTTTTGCTCAGCAGAATGTCGGCCACCTCGTCCAATTTGTGTGGCTCCAGCAGCAAAGCGTTGATGGCCACCTGCCTCCTCATTCGGTGCACCTTTTTCTGCAGTCTCTTTAGTTCAGTGTGTTCCTCTTCAGATTTACGCTGATTTTCCCTCAGCTCTCCTTCCTCCAACTCCTCTCCTTCGTCCTTCTTACTCTCCTCTTCATCCGAGCTCGAACATTCTCCTTCGGACAGATCTTTAGGTTCTGCAGTGCAAACATTATGTGCTGGGAAATTAATGCTTGGCTCTGCAGACACTTCTGGTATTTTGGCAGCTTCTTCAACAAGAATTGCCTCTTTTGGCAGACTTACATCCTCAGACATGTCTGTTGATTTGCTTATTTCTTCCTCAACTTGCATTTGGTCATCTTGGCCTTGTTCATTGCCTTCTACCTTTGGAGGGCCTGCGTCTTCAGCCGTTTCAACAGATTTGCTTATTTCTTCCTCAACTTGCATTTTGTCATCTTGGCCCTGTTCATTGCCTACTTCCTTCGGAGGGCCTGCGTCTTTAGCCGTTTCTGCAGATTTGCTTACTTCTTCTTCAACTTGCACTTGCATTTCGACTTCCTGTTCATTTTGTTTCTCTTGACCCTGGGATGGTATCGAAAATTCTTCGCACCCACTTTCTTCAATCGGAGTCTCTTTTTCCTTTTCGCAATTCAGTTTGTCCAACTCCTGCTGCAGAATCAAAGTTCTCAGTCGAAGCATCTCAAGCTCAATCAGCTGCGAAGTGGATTTCTCACTGCTCGGGGAACCCTTCTCGACTGTTTCTGGCTTCGATTTATCACTCTTGATCTTTTCAAGTTCCTTCTCCAGTTTCTTCATCTGATGGGCATCACCTTTGAACTGGGCTAACTTTTGAAAGTACCTATCATCTGTGAGGCTCTTGTACATTTTCCTCGTCGTGGTTATATGAATGAGGCGTGCTTTCAATGCAGTCATTGATGTGTTAAAAACCATTCTTTGTTCATCACTGAGGAAAGGCAAAATTTTGCTAAGTATAATATACACTTGTTGATTTGTAATTGAATTCATACAACAGAACTTCAATTTTTCACCAACAGTAAGCTTGACAGATGGAAGTTTCCATGAACAGTTTTTGTTCCTAACGAAACAAGCACAAAAGCTCAAGTGCATTATTTGAACACAGACACCTGCATGTGCGTTCAGTGCATTGGCAGGTTTTCTGAACAGCAGGAATGCGACGTCATCAGAAGACAAGTGTAGAGCATGAGGCACACACATCAGAAATTGCTCTAGTACTTTTGCCTTGCATGTTCTGATCAACGTTTTGTAATTTCTTTGAAAAATAAAGCGCGATTCCTTATTCAGAACAGGAATTATGGCTGCTTCTGTGACAGTTTGCCATACCAGACTAAATTTTCCACATTTTAAAATTTTTTCAACTGATATTACTTTATCCGCTTGTACCGTTGCCCTTACATCACAAGAACTCGGTCTTGTCTTCAAGTCTTGCTCATGTTCATAAAGCGCCAGAACCACCATGAATTTCTTGGCCACCTTTCTCATCATGTCCAGAATATGCTTGGCTTCTTTTTCGTCGTCGCTCAGCTTTTTGGCAGCAACAATCCAGTTTATTTCAAACTCAATGCCAGGAATTTGGTGGCTGTTTTTGATGGCGTTGTACATTGAAATGGAAGTTGGCGACATGTCTTGATTTTGTTCGGCTTTGATGCGCAAAATGTCAACCAGAATATCCATTTGAACCCACAGCAGATCTTCAAAAGTTTTCCAAACCTTCATTTTGTACAACAAGTTGGCTCGATGGATAGGTTCATTCTGCATGTTTGCCTGTTCATTCATGTTTGCTTCTTCTTCAAAGTCACCAGCGCTTCTGCTGCTACTTGCATCAGAATTTTTTGATATGTGCCTTTGCCTATATTTGTCTTGGCGAAGTTGTTTTTTATTTTTCTTTATTTGAGAAGACTTGACACTTGTTGTAGAAGGATTCTCTGGTACTTCTTCATCAAATCTGTCTTTCTTGCTAGAGGTTTCCATATTTTCTGGAGACATTACTCTTTTTTTAGCTACTTTAGCTGTTCTTTTAATTTCGCTATTGTTATCTTGATGTGACGATGAACTTTGTTGCTCGGAAGACTTTCCAGCTTCACTCCCTTTCGGAAATTTGTCAGCATCAACAGATTTTGCACAACTCTTTTCAGATAGAGCATCATTATGGTCATCTATTTTTGTTGGTGTCTTTGGAGCAGGCTGGGAATCAACTGGTTTTGTCTCCTTGGGGTCTTCCTTATGAGATTCATTTGCGGCTTTCTCAGATGATGCATTGTCTTTTTCCACATTTTGGAAAACTTCAGTCTCTGTAATTTCCATGTTTTCCTCTGCACTCTTGCCACTCTTTTGTGCATATTGACTTTCTTCAGTAGCTTTAGGTGGCGGTTGATCATTTTTAGATTTTGTAGTTTCCGGTACAGGTTCGTCCTCTTGCTGATCAGGTGGCAAAGGTAAGTCCTCGGCTAACTGGATCATCTTGACTTCCTTGGTCACTTCTTCCACTCTTAATACAACAGTCCTGTGTAGCTCTATGTCATCATCAGAATCTTCCGGCTCTTGTTTGATTGCTATTTCAAAATCGTCAGGTTTCTCTTGTTTGATTTTCACAGGCTCCAATTGACAGTACGTAATTACAACTTCCTCCTCCTTTGCAGCTTCGGCAGCTTTCTCCTCTTTGATTTTCTCGATCTCGTCCAGTCTCCTTGTAATGTTTTGCTTGAAATCATTAATGGCATCGCATTCCAATTCACTCAGCTGCAGGTATTTCACAGAGAAGAATTTCTTGGCCAAAGCCAAATTCGGCTGTCTCCGTAGAGATTTCAATTTGGCCTCTTCGACCGAGGCAAGCCAGTTTTCTCCGGCCTCCGTCAATGTGTTCAGATGCTTTACAGGATCTCCTTTGGAACCCTTCAGCATCCATTCCTCCAAATCATGTTTTTGTTCTTCACTCAATTCCCAAAAATCCATCCGGAAAAAGAGTCGACCGACGCCAAGCATGATGTGGAGGGGCATTGCTGTTTTTTCCAGGCTGAGAATGTTTTCCATTTTGAGAATGTCCACAGTTCGGAGGAGTTTCTTCTGGTAATCATTTGCTTCTCCATAGTCAATGCAAAATATTTTTCTGCACAGCAACTTTGCCCTTTCTTCTCTGGACAGATGGTACCATCCTGGGTCGTAGCTGAGCTTCGATGCGAGAAGCTCTGTCTGCTCCTTGTTGTCTTCAGGTTCAGGAGAATCAGGAGTATCGGCTCTTTCAATTTCTGCGACACTCTTTTTGGCATTACTTCTCAAATTTCGACTCATCTTCAAAAGGTCCTGAAATTTATAAATTTTATCAGAAAAAATAAAATGAATAAAACTATAGAAATTCTATGAACAAAGTCAAGCATAACATCTGTACGGTCCGACAAATTAGAAAGATAAGGTAACTCACACGTACCCGTTAAAACAAGTATGGCTTTCAGCTTTCACACAAGAAAGTGGAAACTGCTTGCACGGCTTTTACTGATGTTCCTTCCATCAGCAGTTTCGGCCCAACTGCATAAATATCCAGAATAAAGAATAAAACAGAAGAGCCGCTAATTTCCAAAAATATTAACATTCTAGCAGAGTTCATTTATTGCATGCGGTTCTAGAGGAATTACTCACCTTAATTCATGGACGCGCTAGAAGGGCAGATTTTTCATCACTCAATGCGAAGGAATGTCATTACTTCTTATTTTGAAAAGTGTTTCAATTTGACACCTGCAAGGTGGCGCTGCTGGCGTGCAGATTGCGCTGGTCGGCGCAGGAGGCTTTTTATTCGCGTACGGAGGATGCACAAAATTCGATAAATACCCCGCCAAATTCAAATAATTTACATTGTTTAAAGCTGTGGATTTGAAATTCGCGGTAACTAAATATGGCGCCCATAAGTAAACGCTAAACCTAACCCGCAATTTAAACTTTCTTGTCTTGTTTGTTGATATTCTGGTTGATTCTGGTCTTGGATGGCGGTGTCGGCCCACATTTTGCAGTTTTCGACAACCAAATTAAGACAAATTTGCCAATTGAAAACTGTGCGTTCCTCTCAAGAAAATTAATCGTGAGTAAATTGTGTTAAATTTGAAATTTCGTCTTGGACCGTGCTGCAATTTATGATTCGAAAATATTGCACAAAAAATGCATTTTGTTGCAATTGATTTTTTTTTCTTGCTGGTAAAGACAATTTATTTCAATTAAATTTTTACAGATGTCGCATTCATTGGCATCCCTGACTGCCACCTACACCGACTCAGAGGGCGAGGACGAAGAAGATCCTGGCCATCTTGAGGCAGGGACGGTGACCCTGACCGAAGAGAGCAGCCTGTCGAAACCTCCATCGCCCATACAGCCGACTGGCCGACCTAAAAAAAGACGAGCCCATTTGAACCGACTGGTGTCCTACCAAGATGAAAACAACGTTTCGACCGAAGGGGAAGACACTGAAAACGAATACACAGATGAAGATGGTGAAGGGGTTGGATTTGAACAGCCCTCTGAGGTGGAAAACGCCATGGGTTCGCCAGCTAAAAAGGAGGTACGAAGACCCATACCTACGGACGTTGAACTTCCTGAGGAGGCGAAAGGAAAATGCTCAGCCGAACATCAGGAAAGGGTCATGAAACATTTTGAAAAGGTAGACTTTAAATTAAAAAAAGTTCCAATCAAATTTGTAATAAATTATTCAGGTGCAAAAGGGCTTGGACATGAACTCGATGATTCAACGCCGAAAGGACTTTCGCAACCCAAGCATTTACGAAAAGTTGATCCTGTACTGCAACATCAATGAATTAGGCACCAACTATCCACCACACATGTACGACCCCACGCGCTGGGGTAAAGATTCATTCTACGAAGAACTGGCCAAAGTGCAGAAGGTCGAGATGGACAAGAAAGAAAAGGAGAAGAAGGAAAAGGCCAAGGTGGAGATTGTGACGGGGACAGCAAGGAAACCGCCCACTCTTCTGCTGTCAGGTGGGGCCATCGGCCAGAAGACCTCGGCAGCCCTGGCAACAGCAGCCGCCACCGCAGCCACCATAGAGGAGAAAAGAAAATCCAAGTGGGACCAGGTCGGAACCGCTGCCTTGACGGCCAACGTGACTGGTACGAAGAGTACAGTAATTTCAGCGTTCGGTTCGTTGCCGAAGAGACCAAAATTGTGAGTGGCTAAAGATTGACAGGATTTTCAAGCGTGGAAGTGAAATTAATCTTGAGGAAAGAGAACTGGATACAAATGAACATACTTTTATTATTTAAATTTGTCGATAACTAATCTTAAATAAGAACCAAGCAAGAACTGAGCAATTGTCTTTTTATTTTCAACTTAAATTTCATTCTGAATCCTCCTTCCTTTTATAGAATTATATTAATATTTTTATGATTTATACAATTATAAATACAATTTATTTTCATAAATTTTATCTTTGAATTGAAATGGGAAAACTGTTCATGAGTTTCCAAACTTCAAAATTAACAAAAATTTATTTATTTAATTAGAGCAACAACAATCATTAAGGCCTCTTTCCATTATTTCAAATTTCAAAAATATTATTTATAACTTTGGCTTTGATTGTAACTTGATTTAAATTTCAAAATAATTAATTTAACATCTTGTTATGTTAACATGAAATTAAAATAAAATTTTCTAAATGTAAATAAAAAATCAGCTTTTTCCACTAAACTTGCGGTACTGTGGCTGCATGGTACGTGCAAGCAAACAGCCGAATAATAAAATCGTCAGTTGTCAACGCATGTAAAATCTTGCTTGGACTGTTTCCAACAAAACAGGATAGAGAAGTCCGATGTTATCCTGCGCCGCGCATATTAATTAATCGGAGATAAGCAATAGATATGGACTTTTTGCAGTTGTAATAATGCGGTAATTAAAATGCACATTACCCATCGCAATTCTCATCTAATAAATTAGAAAGTGGAAATGGAATTATATAAATGCGCGTACGTGCGCATAGAGTTTGTCCGACGTATAATGTGTGCTAAGTTTGATTACGGCGCAATCACAATTGCACGCCGCTTCGCACATGTGGGATATGAAAAATGCAGTTCATAAATTTGAAAGTATAAAAAATAAAGTGCAGAGAGAGAGATTTGAGCGAAGCGATGAATGTGGTCACTCGAGTGTTTCAGGGTCGCAGGAAGTTGCCTGCAGTTAATCAATGCGAAAGCGTGAGATTTTTTCAAGCATTTTTTTTTTATTTAAAAAAAAATATATCATTTGAACTCTGCTAAATTAAAATCTTAAAATTTTGCTACCGTATCAAGGACAAATTATTTATTAATAGTTGCATTCGGGTGACGCGATTATGATTGTGTTATGCAAAGCGTCGGATCAAAGAGATGTAGAAGGAAGGAAACCTTTACTTTCTCTCTAGGAGAAGTATCACCCATGATGCTTTCTCTCTAGCGAAGACTCTTCAGGAGAGGGAGTGACGTTCATAATTGTGTCCGTCGCCACACAGACTTGGAGGAGCGGTCTTTCGTCTTGGAGAGTTCAATGATCGTTTTTTGTTTGAAGCTGCTGGCTAGATTTTTGAGGAAGGCAAATTTTGTTTTATTAGAAATTTACATGTTGAAAATTAATTCCTCTGAAAATTTGAATTACTTTCCTTGGTGTGTGATAAAATTGAAGAAAAAAATCAGCAATTTTTATTTTCAATGGTAAAATTTCTATTAAATTATTTCAATTTAATTTTGAAAGCTCTTGATATTTAATATATTGTAAAATATATAATTATACTTTTCTACTGTTCAATTTATCGCAATTTATTATGTAGTAGAAGTTCACGATCGAGGGTTGTTTTATAGGTTTTTAGTTGATTTTAAAAATTAAAATTTGCAGCTTTTTCCTCGCGATATAATAATATAAATATTTTTATTCATGAAAAACCCATTTCATGAGGATCAACGAGGAAAAAGCCCGATCAGTTCTTCACATCCATGATCATCTCCTTGAGTGTCAGTTTATTCAAACAAATTCAAATTTGCATTAATTTTAATGAGATTTGGTATCAATTTTCATTTAATAATATAATTAAATTTTTGTGTTAAAATCAAGATTTTTGTGATTTCTGCTCCATTTCTCTTTTTGACTCATTAATTTGCTGAATCATCACAGAGCGATGCGCGCTCCGTGGTTTGATCACCTCTTTCTTTTTCTTTCTCTTAAAACGCCATGGACCGGCGGCCGCGGCATCCGTTCAGTGCCGGTGCATCCGCAGCATTTCACCAGAATTGGCTCAAGAGGCGGCGATAGAAAGCGTTGCGAACCTCGCTCGCAGGCCAACGTGCAAAGAGACTGCGGCCGATTAGTCTGTAGCTGGAGAGCAAAAGCATGTGAAGTGGGTTGACCTGCCGCGTGTGTTTTTTCGACCAACAATAAAAATTATTCAACGCAAATAGGATACGACGTCTTTCAACGATGGCCAAAACCGAAATCACCGTCATAGACAGGAATGAAAGTAAGTTTCAAAATCCTGACTTTATTTCAAATTTTTGCTTTTGCAAACTGCATAGGCAGAGGTTCCTCTCTTTTCTCCAGTTACTTTCAGAAGCGTGCAGGATAATTTGGCGCTCATTGACTTACAGAATAAAAATCCGATTTATTTGTTTCTATTAGTGAGTGAATTTTTCCATATTGTCAAAGTAATTGAAACTGATCAGGAAATTTAAATAACAAGTAAAATAATTTAATTAAAAAAAGATTTTTTTAACTTGTGTAATACTATTGGGGATATTCACATTGTGTTATAAGCAAATTCCGTTTAAGCTCAAGTGAGAACCTCTTAATTTTAAAAAGATAACTCGATGAATTAAAGAAAGCAAAAGATGTGAATTGTCATTAAAGATCAGTTAAATGATGCAATATTTTTCTATTAATGCATGAATAAATTTTGAATACTATTAATATTGAGTTCATCAAAAATTTTAAATAAAAATAATCGGTATCACTAAAAATCGAAAAAATGCGTTTGTTTGCGTAATAATTGTATATTTTTAAATGCTACATGTTTAAAGTGCTAAATTATTATGACAAGATATACTAGTTTTTATTATAAATCTCATTCTATTTCTGCTGTAAACAAGAGATTTATCTATAGAAAAAGATGCGCAATTTTTGTTGAGAAATATTTTCTTTGCGTGACCATCAGTCAAGAAACCAGTTTCATCAGACGAGAGCAAGATTGAGTTTGCTTCTCGAATCCGTCCACGGGAATTCCCGGACGTGCAAAAAAAAATAATTATACCAGTGGGCTAAGAAAATTAATTGTGATTTGCGTAGAGTGTGAGAGTAAAAAAAATACAATTGACCTGAAATAGAATAAAATAGTATAAGACAGTAACCATAAAAACTGCTGATGAAATGAAATAACTGGTTCAATCCGTGTTAAATTTCCAATTGGCGCATTTAGTACAAAACGTTCAACTGACTTGTTTCATTATCACATTGCAACATGCAAAAAATTAAGATTTGTGTAAATGCACATTTTTTCTGTATGGATGGTTATTGATTTTATTAGTTACTGAAATTTGCACGAAAATTAATTTACATTTAAAATAAATATTGATTTTATTAGAAAACTCTGGTTTCATTAAAATTATTAGAGTTTTGAAATAACAAAAATATGTCACTTTTGATCATTTTCGTCGTCTTCAAAATTCATTTTGGCAAGGAATTTTTTTGCAAATTATAAACAATAAAATACTTCATGTTCTTTATAGTCTTTATTTTTCTAAAAGTTTACTATTTTATTATTGTTATGCACGTTTATACATGTTGTATGAATGTTTTTTTTTACCATTTTCATTAATTCCTCAATTGAACTATTTACTTTTGTAGAACTTAAAATTCATCTTGCTATATAAAAACAGACTTAAGACTGGAGCATTCCTCAATTTAAATCGCCTTTAAAAATTAAAAAGCTTAAATTAATTAATGTTTCAGGTAAAAAAAAATTTGGTTAGAATAAATGACAAAATCATTTGCAAAAAAATATATAATATTTTGGCAAATTTGTGTGTAAAAATTATGAAATTTTTTTTATTAAATTTCTTTAACCTGTTATGTGTGCTATTTGTGCGTGTCCAATATAAAAGAGAGCGCAATGTTATTGTGCACCGGGCGGTGCTAATTGAAGGCGTCGTCATTGATGTTTAGCACCTGAAACGACGAACGAGGTTTGCCTTTGTTGCGCAACAAAGCACGTCCACAAAAAAATGCATAATTTCTGCACTCACTCAATCCTTTTGTCCCCCTGAATAAAAAGGTACTCACGCTGATCGTTTCATTTAAAATAATTTAACTGCGGGCGGTCCAAGGGCAAACACCCTTTATTTTACTATTCTATTCTGCAAGAAAAAAACCTTGAGTGGAGCAGCGCGATTGTAAAATTTATGGACCATCTCCAGACGCTAAAGAGCAGGAAAAACCTTTGATGTGTGACTTCCTCTCTCTTCAGGTCTCTTTTTCAAGTGCATATGTTTGACAAGAAAAGATGCTCGTCACCGCGTTTGGCAAACACCGATTTTGTCGCACGTACAATCAAAAGGGCACACCTTTTTGGCCACAGGTGGAATTTCAAGAGAGATAGATTTTTATCGCTTTTCGGAGGAATAGCAGTGTTGAATGTCAAGTGACCCCCTGGCATCTGTTCAAGGCGAACCACGTCTCGCCGAAATAGACGCCACACAAACGGCCAATAGACCTACCTAGACTAGCACACGTATACATATATCATGGGGAAGCAAAAGGCGGCTTTTTTACTAAAGACCGGCTTGTCCGATTATCAGCGCTTTTCTAATTGGCGTCGCGGACGAGCCTTGAATTTCATTCCGGCTGGATTTGACAATTATACTAAATTATCAAGCGAACGAAAGACACATAAATTAACTTTAAAACTTCGAATTAATTTTTTAAATAAAAATTAGATGTGCATAAAGAACCCTGTAATTATTATTTTTATATAGAGTAAATTAAATATTTATGTTGCTAATTTGTTTTAGTGTGAGTGTGTGTTTTTTGTAAATTTTAGTGTAGAGTTTTGTCGTGTTTGCGTTGTTAAGTGTATTTCAGTTTCTGTATTAAATTTTTAAAAGAATTTTAACGTGGATTCAGAAACTGAGCGAGAAAACCAATGCTCGGAAAAACGAATTAAAATGTCCAAATTTCAACTTTTAATTGGAAATTTTAATCTGTTTTAAAAATAATTAAAATTTCCAATTAAAAGTTGAAATTTGGACATTTTAATTCGTTTTTCCGAGCATTGGTTTTCTCGCTCAGTTTCTGAATCCACGTTAAAATTCTTTTGAAAAAAGAAAATATTTCAGTATTTTTTTTTTTATATGAATTTACTTTTTTAAATTTAATTTAAATGATGCTTTTTCAAACAAATTTCTCGATCTAGCTTCCTATATTTTCAACTCTAATCTATTGTAGATGTAGGATTATTTTTTCTTCGGATTTTGGCATTGAGAAAACAGGTTTTGTTTCCCCAGTAGAGTGGGCAGCTGAACATGTGCGTGTTCTTGATTTGCACGGAATTTATTACCCAATTTGAAGGTTGATGACCGCGCGTCCTTTGTTGAGCACTCGTCTTTGTTCATTCGTTATCAGGAACCGCAGCTGACACACAAAATTTAGAAAATTTACAAAAAATTCTTGTTTTTCATTGTAAAATCAGCAAGATAATTTAAAAAATGTTTAATGTTCTCAGTAATATATTTTTCATTAAGATAACTTAGTGGCTAAGAACACACAAATCCTTAATTATAGTTAATTCAATATTGGCAACCTTTTTAAGGAGAATTTGAAAAGAGCTATTTTATGGTTACAAAGAATTAATAAATTAAACAATCCATTCCCGATAATTTTCTTTTCTTTCAATTAATTTATATAATCTCCGAATTTTGTGTCTTCATGAATACAGATGAAAATTATTGCTTGCAAACAAGTTAAGGTTTTTTTTTTTAAATTTTGAAACAAAATTTACATTTCATAAGTTGAAAGTTGCAGAAGCGTACGTTTTATTTTATCGCGCTGAAAATTCATTTTGGTTATTAAATGTCTTGTTTTTTTTTTGTTTTTTTCAATGAAACGATTTTTTGCTTACAAAGATGAGAAGGTTTTATTGGAGAAATTTTTGCAATTAAGTTTAAGGTGATCAGTCGGTCAGTCATAAAGTCACAACATGTATTATAATTACACATTTACAAAATCACATTCAATGGCGAATTTTAATTAATAGATGATCGGTGAATACAATTGGAGCCAATGGATGAAAATTCGCATAAATTGGACGATGAGAATAATCAAGATTTTTCAAATTTCAATTAATCGAGCGTGGTCGTAAAGATGAGCTGGCGGCACAGTATCTAACCATAATAGGTAGTGCGGACAAAAGAAGGGACGTGGTGCACGACTCGGTGGTACGGATAAGTGCCGTAGGGATAATAGGGGCTGGCGTAGGGGTTGACGAGGTAAGGTGCGTGCAGGGCGCCGTGCAGCCCAAGAGCGCCGAGACCGAGCAATGCCCTCTTATCCTTCGGGGTCGAGTCCTCCTGCTCCTCGACAGGGGAACACATGGCCACGGCGACGAGGGCCAAAAACACGATCACCTTCAAATAATTTTTTCCATTTGATTAACAATTATTTATAAAATTCATGAAAAATTATGTTAAAGTTTAAACGTGCAATTGTAAATATTTTATTTATTTAAAAAGATCAAAATTAACCAGTTTTTCAAATTAGTTTAGCGTGATAAAATATTTAATTTTTCAACTGGATCTAATGCAAATTAATCAATATGAGAAATAAATAATTTATTGGATGACGAAGCCTGGAATCATTACGAGAATTATTTATAAGATGCGTTTTTAAAGTTTTTCTAAATATTTGGAGTGAAATATGAAATACAATAAAAAAAATTAATTGAGAATAAAATTCTGCACAAACCTTGGCGTTCATGTTGTGAGTGCGTCTGCTAGACTGATCCAATTTTCTATTTTTGCCAAACTTTTATAGCAAAATTTGTCCCTACCCACCTAAATGGTTCATTTTCGCAACAAGTCTCTTCTTCCAATTGATTGACCACTTTTTCTTTGCTTCGATGAGTTTATAATTTTTATTACTTCTTATTCATTGAGGGCTAATTGCTTTTAGTGCTTCCTGTGGTTTGTATGTCTGATATGAAAACCGTCTTGCGAAATAAAAGTGCCCTTTGAGAGTTTAAACATGGTGCAATTTAAAAATTTTCCCTTTCGTGCTCAAAACCAAACAAAAAGTGCCTGAAGAGCGTTTCAAGTGAAAGTGCAATACCAATTTACATTTTTCACACGTCACTTAATTACCAAGGGCTTGCCATTTTTTTCTTTAATCTTCTATTCATTTATGTGAAACATTTTAAATCATTGCAAAAAACAAACATATATTTTTTTGGGTACATAAGAGAATATATAGAAACAATGATTTGAATTAAAAACAAAACGAGAGTGAAAAATTTCATGAAATTTGATAAAATCTTTGGTTCTTATTCGCTTTCAATAGGCAAAGATTAATCCAGGCTGAGCAGCAATAATCGGAGTTGCAAACTTTATTGTGTGTCGATTCCACCTCGGAACATGTCAGGGCGCCAGGGCGCCTAATGCAAAGAGGAGTCCTTTTCTCTTTAGTTTCTTTCGTCCCCAGTTGGTACGCACAGGGCGACGGCCGTTATGGCAAAAAGGTAGCAAAAAATGTAAAATTTAATTTTTAATAATACTTATTTGCGTTTATGGCGCGTTGTTCATGTCTCATCAAAGACTGTCTGTTCTCATCAGAGCATTGCTGAATTTATGTATTCTTGCATTTCCGACTGCACAATTCTTCTCTTTTTTCCAATTTAAAATTTTTGTATTGACCGAGAAGAATAAATAATAATACTTTAATTACTGAATTTTCATATATCGCCTTGAAATTTCAAAACAAACACAAAGTGTGCCTGATCAACGAGCATAAATTGCGATGCAATTGACTTGTAACCTTCACGGTTAGTCAAATGTGAACTTTATTGAGGAGAACAAATAAATTGTAATTTTTTAAAAGTTAATTTCTTGAAATCATTGGTTTCTTTAATTATAAAAACTAACAAAGTCTGGAAATGATGCAAAATAATGCTTTAAAACATTATCATTATCCATTGTAGTTTGTAATTATCAATGTTTTCAAACCACAGATTTGTAATTTCATGATATTTGACCCTAAAAAACAATTATTTTCGTTCATACCAGAAAAATTGCGTGACTCGTCTTTGTAAAGTACAGAGAACATTTTCCCTAAAACCACAATTCAAACCGGTATAAAGTCGCGTGCGATTCGGCAGAAGGCATCAGTCAGTTGTCTTCTCCAACTAAGCCAACAGCAACATGAACTCCAAGGTAATTAATTAATCTGCAATAATTTTGTTTCCGAAAAAAATAACAATTTTTTTTTAATTCCGACAAAAGGTCGTCGTTCTTCTCGCCGTCGTGGCCGTCGCGATTTGCGCCCCCGCCGACCATGAGCAAGCCCGGCAGAAGCGAGGCGCGCTTTCCTACCCCTATCATTACACCTACCCCCTCGCCCACCACCCCGTCGTAGTCCATCGGCCCATCCCTCACGTGGTGCACCCCGTGTCCTACGCCAACTACTACAGCAACGCCATCGTCAACCCCTACACTGGCTTGGCCGTCAGGTTTGGCGCCGCCGAAACCGCCCCTGCCTCCTCCACCGCCGCCCCCGAAACTGCCCCTGAAACTGCCGCCGACGAAGAAAGCAAAGAATAAAAAAAAGTCGGCTGGAATGGATTTTGACAATGTTCTGTAAATAAAATTAAATAAGTTTCATAATATAATGATGCTGATCATCGTTTTAATTAATTAAAAAAGTTTAAGTTTATTTTATTGGCAATGAAAGGAGAAACCGTTAAAAAATATTTTAACTCTTAATTCGGGCTGTACACAGCGATAATTTATTATTTGTCAGAGTTTTCAAAAAAAAAAAAAAAAAAAAAAACTATTCTATTATATCGCAATTGGAAAATTAGCTGCTTCTGTGCGAGTGCGGAATTTAATCTGTACTTATATCTCCGATGAAATGATACTTGCATGGAGTAATTGTAGTTTTTAACATTGCAAAGCACACGTCCAAGGTAAGACTTTTTATATAAGTCTAAAATTTTACAACTTTTTTATTTAATTTTAATTAAAACAAAAATTTTTAGCTGAAATTATAAAAAAAATCATTATACTCTGATTATACTGAAATATCTTTTATGATTTTAAATAAAAAACAGAAATCTTAACTGCAGATGGAAAATTACAAAAATAGAAGAAGTACAACATATTTTTGTCTAATGGGTTTCAGCAATCTTACAGTTTTAAGAATAAAGATCTGTTCCAACTAATTTCCTACTAAAATAATAATGTGTAATTAAATTTTATAAAAAAATACTCCATGTGTTTTGATCATCCATCTGTTGCAAAGTTAGACTCATTACATTAAACAAAAAATCCCAAATCCTTTATTTTTAAATAAATGACCAAACGATAATAAATACAAGCAAACACAAAAATGATTTCAGTACATGATGGAAAGCAAAAGTTACTTCGTAATTCATGATTTCAGTCAGGTTGAGCCAGCGTAGAGAATTTTTAGCCTTAAAGATCGCATTGTTTTGTCCGCTCACAATCTCCCTCTTGATGTTCCTCACTTTGGTCGGGTCGCTCCTCTTCACTTGTTTCCACTTCATGAAATCCGCGTCGTAAAGTTCATTGCCCAAAGTGTACGAAAATTTGTTGCCTCCTGATGAGTACCGAGCCTCAAGCTGCGCCTGCAATGCAGTGTCGAATTCTTTCCAATCTGAAATTTTCGTAAATTAAAAAGATACAAAATATAATAATAATTTTTTTCTCAATTACCTTTCTTTCCACACATGTACATCCACTTGGCCTGGTCCAATACGGCAGAGGCAGATCCTGAAGGTGGACAATGGAAATTTTGGTTTGTCGTCGACATTTTTTTTTTTTAATTCTGAGACAAAAATTTTAAGCTTTTTTCAAGAGAAGCTGCCTGCGTTAAAAAATAAATCACAACTGAAATATTTTCTTCAGCGCGACGCTTTAATATGGCCATGGTTAGGAAAATCTTACATGTCGATCTGTCATAGACTTTTAGCTTTTAACATTGCAACAGTTAAAGATAGAAGCTTTCAAATTGTAGAAGACTTTTAAGTCTATATTTCATAAGAAACATTACTTTTTTTAAACACTTGAAAATAATTTGCTGCAAACTTATCATTTTAATTCTATTTTTTATAAAGAGCTGAGAAAATTTCTAATTTGGTTTGGTCGCAAGCAAGTATTATTTATGTTTATTCAACTTTTTACATTTTCTACACTCCACACTGATTTTCCTGATTTAATTGAAAGACGAAATATTTTTTTACTTGCATTTTATAAAGCTAAATATTGTCTTATAATTTATAATTTGCTTTTATTTGCGTTATTTAGCAGCCTCTTTACCAATATTGATGGTGAAGGATTTGAAGAATTCTTTATTTATTAGTTGTCCACATTATATCTTATTAAATTGAATAAAAAATTCTCTGAAAAATTCAATTTATTTATAAAAGGAAAAAAACATTTCTTGCCATGCATTTAAAATACTTTTATTATCACAATTAATTTCAGTATTTAATTGTTACATTCCAATTGAAAAATGAGCAACGGCGCATAATTTTTCAAGACCAGATGAACAACAAGTTAGACTTTAAAAAAGTCTTTCGTGGAAAATTTTACTTTTTCATGTAATGGACCAGAAAAATAATGAAGGCGATCAAGAGAACGAATAATTTCAACAAATGATGAACGGCCAAAGTGACTTCGCAATTCAGGATTTCGGAGAGGCTGAGCGCCGAGGAAGTCGAAGAACGCGTCGAAGAGGTCACTGGCGCCGACGAGTTGGACGTCGCCTGTGGACTATAGGACTGCTTTTTCACAACTTCCCTCTTGATGTTCCTCACTTTGGTCGGGTCGCTCCTCTTCACTTGTTTCCACTTCATGAAATCCGCGTCGTACTGATCGTTCTTCAAAGTGTAGGAAAATTTGTTGCCGCCCGAAGCGTAGCAAGCCTCGAGCTGCGCCTGCAACGCGGGGTCGAACTCTTTCCAATCTGCAAAATTTTTATTTAAAACGTTGAATTGTTTTCCTTCATAGTCACGTACCTTTATTGCCACACATGTACATCCACTTGACCTGGTCCAACGATCCTCTCCATCTTTGATTATTTGAATTGGACCCAAATTGTCCGAACATGCGAGCGTTATTGGGTCCGTTATAGCGATTCATCTTCAGAGACTGCGTGGAGAATTAAAATAATAAAAAATATGTAACTAATTTCGCGTGCGTTCGTCTCGTAACTGAAAGTTTTTAAGACTTTTCTAACTATTTATATAAATCCCTGGGATGTAAAAGTCTAAGGCATATCGCTAAGACTTAAAAGACACTTTAGTCACTTTATCTATCATTTTGGTACACTTCCTAGAGATGAAAAGTCTAACTTTATTTTTAAGCTTTTGGGGAAGTAATTTAAAATTTTGTGAGTTTAAAAAATGAACACTAAATTAATTGTGAAAAGTCCCAAAATTTTTAGGAAACGTAAGAGTAATTAAAAGAAATTTGCACTTTAGATTGTCTAATTCTAAAAAGTATTTAACGAGCTGATTTTAAAAAATTATCAATAAAAATTTAAATTTTTGAATTTTAATTTTTTTTTCTTGAAATTTAATCTATTCAAAATAATTCAAATGACATAATATATTTGCCACTTTCTTTCTTTTTTTATCTTTAAGGCTCATAATCTTTCTTTATCAACTTAATGAGTCGTCGTTGTTGTATCATATCAGATTTGTTCTGACAATGATATTATTGTTAAAATTACTTTAATAGTCGATTTGATAATAATGCGCAATTCACAAATAATGTAACACGTCGCCTTGCGGTTTTTAATACAGTAAAAAGAACACTGTAAATTAATTTCGCTTTTGAGCAATTAGTTCCTCACTAGACCAGCTCTTTCACAATTAACAACTGCCCTCTGTGCTTTCGAAACTATCGGCTTCTCTATTGCACCTGAAACGTATAAAAACGCGAGAACCTTGGTCAGGGCACATCAGTCAGTCCGACCGCTGCAAACAATCATCATGAACGCCAAGGTTCGCAACCAAAGCTATTTTTTGCACTCACAATATTTTGGATCGCTAAAAACTTATTTCACATTTTTAATTTAATATATTTATTTTTCACTTTTTAAATAATTTTTTTTTAAGTCTTTTTATCACAATCTGTGCCAGTTTTGGGTAAAGATTTGGTGAAAATGCAACCCGCATGTTGCAAATTTCCTAGCAATTTTTTTTAATAATATAAAATATTTAAAAAAAAATCAAAACCTGGAGACAAACAAGCCTAATTTTATTATTATTATTATTTTTTTTATTATTAAATAAGGATTTTTAAATATTTTTGTCAAGACCTTTGAGAAGATGTTTTTTTGATCCACCCAAAAGATCCTATTCTCCAAGTTTGGTTTTATCATTTTTATGAGCAAAAAAAAAACTGCAGGTTTTCGTTTTTCTGGCCGTCGTCGGCGTCGCCTTGTGCGCCCCTGCCGAGGAAACCACCAAGGACAAGCGAAACCTCATCGGCCTCTCGACCTACCCTGCCCTCGCTGCTGCACCCCTCGCCACCTACCCCTACGGAGGCTACGGAGCTGCCGTCCTCCCCTACAACGCCTACCCTGCTTACAACGCCTACCCCTACGCCAACCTGGCCTACCCTTACGCTGGTCTCGGACTCCACAGGCTCGCCGCACCCGCCTACCTTGGCTAGGATTTTCTTCATAAAATACTGAATTTCATTTTAATCATGTTAAAGAATCATCCAATATTATAAATAAAAGCGCTCTTGTCTGCAATAAAAGTTAATTGAGTTTTTATTTAAATATGAGAAAAATCTATTTGATGAAGCTTTTCTATTTATTCTTCTATACGAATAAAATTTTTGACTAAAAAAACAAAAAATTTATTTATTAAAATCCCTAAATGTGTTCTTAAAGTAAAAAAAAAGTACAAAAAATTAACAATTAATACAAAACAAAAATTAAGTAAATGATTTTTTTTAATAATTATACATTATTTTACTGTAAAAGTTATAAAAATTTATTGGAAATGAATTTTGATTTCCATCGGGGAGCAAGAATCATTAGACAATAAAGAGATACACGCTATGCCGGAAGACAGGCGTGATAGGTTGCATATTATCATTTTTTTATTTGAATAAGTTTGCCATCAGAAAGAATTGTGCGATTTGTTTTTGTGTACTTTTTGGAGCAAAAAAGCAACATTCTAGACCTTGTTTCAAGTAAGAATATTATAATAAAATGACACATGGCAAAATTTTAGAAAACTGCGTGCAAAAATACATTTTTTCAAGAATATATTTTTGTGGGTTTATTTTTATTTTTAATCGGACCTTTCTAGAAGCCCCCGCGTGGCGCGTTTTAGCAACTCATAGGTGCTATTTTTCCACATTTTGAATTTTTCAATCTTTAATTTTCTTTTGATTTGTGAAAAATAAATTAATAACTCATTAAAATAAAATTAGTCTTCAGTACAAGTAATTGGAGCATTTTAAATCCGAGCGTATAATTATAATTTAATCTTCAATTTACGTCCAATTACACTAATTGACTCACATTTTGTAAATATCTCTACAAAATTCAAGTAGAGTTTTCTAAATAATTCTTCTCTATAAATATTCTGACCGAAATTATTATAAGAAAATTTATGTTTTTAAAAATATTTTGAATTGAATGTCAAATTTTGTGTTAAAAATTATTTTGTGAAGAAATGTTAAATAATTTTTCACGGAAAATTGTCAATTTGAAAGAAAAATAAATTTTGAAAAAAAATTTATTTTTGTACTAATTTTTGTCAAAATATTTTCGCAGCTCATGAATTATGGCTGCAGCCCGCAGCCGAAACATGTAGAGCAGGATATTGTTTTTCTTAAACAATAAACAACTCACAAAAACCCATCGAGGAAAAGGCGATTTTAAATTCAAATCACCAATTCTTCTCTAATTAAACACATTTCAACAATCAATTAAGACACCTTGCAACTAACAATATAATACTTAATCATACTTAATAATATTCAGACAATCTAAATTATATTTTAAAAGAAGAGGGGTCGTTTTTTCCAAAATCGAAACTGCTCCATATTAATTACTGTGCTCATTTTTTTAATTTTTATTTATATCATAATTTATACATTTTGAAATTCAAATGATTTATGAGGTTGATGAAACTTTTGTCAGCGATCATTGCTGAATTTGGTGTTCAGCCGAGGAGGGCGGGACGCGTGGAGGGGATGATGGCGGGGGCGGCGAGGGCGGCAGCTCCCCAGGGCGCGCCGAGGGGCGCGACGGCGCCAGAGTTCCAGGGGCTGGCGAACCTGTTGGGCAGGCCGTTGTAAGGGTTGTACGCGAGGCCGTAAGGGTTGTACGAGGCGTAGGGGTTGTACGTGTTGTACGTGTTGTAGGGGTAGCCGTTGTAGTGGTCGAGGGCGGCAGGGTGGTAGCCGTAGTTGTAAAGGTCGCGCTTCTGCTTCGCGTCTTCGGTCGTCACGCCAAAAGCGACGCCGGCGAGGGCCAGAAAAATAATCACCTGACAAAAAAAAAATTATTGAATATAATGGAATAATTTTTTTAAAGAAATTGGCAAATCGTAGCCAAATAATAATTAATTAAAAATTAAAAACAATTGAATTAAAAATTGTAATTAAGAAATAATGAACTATAATGAGGACAATTTAGCCCTTCGATCGAATTGAATGGCAGATTTGGATCGCTCTCATTACTCATTACTTTTAAAAGTATTGAATTGTGTGTCAGTTCCTAATTTAAAAAGAATTAGAAAAATTGATAGACATGAAAAAACACAAATTAATTAATTAGCAAAATATCGATTGTAAAAAGACAAACAAAATACTTAGATTCAAAAGAGCAGTACAAGTTTTCTCTAATTATAACGGATCAAAAGTGATCGTAAAGCATACAAATTATATTTTTTATCCAAACTGCACCCCACTTTTTTTTTAAATTTTCTATTATTGTAAAGTACGGGAAACGGCAAGTGATTATCTATCGGTAAAAAAAATCAAAATATTATTTAAAATAATTTATAATATAAAATATTTGTTTTAAAATTGTTGATAAGCAACTAAAATTTGTTAATTATTTTTTTTTAATGATGAAAATTAAATATAATTTAATACCGTTATAATGAGTTTTCAGACTTGTCTGGAACTTGAAAATTTGTCCAATTAAAAATGTTTTGAAAAAATAATAAAAATGGGAAAAAAAACTTCCAAACGTAGAAAATTTTTAATAACTAAAAGTATAGTTTTTTTGAACTATAAAAACACATTATTTAATGATTTTCTGAAATAAAAGAAAAATGTATAGATTGCAATTTTTTCGAATTTACCTTAGCGTTCATGATTGAGTATTGATGATTATCCGGCTGGTGCTAGACTGATGGACTTCCCCAAAAATTTTGGCTTTTTATACACAAAAAATCACGGCTCGTGCCGCGTCAGGATCGTGAACGTAGAAAACGAGCTCCTCATGTATTTTTAATTTTGTTTTATTGTTATTAGTTTACGACTCGGAGGACGCAATTCCTATAACTCTCGATATGTGGTTCACTATTTTTTTCGCGCTCGCGGGGCACTCATTTGGATCTAAGTGGATTGATTTCTTCAACATCAAATCGAGTCGAGGCGTGCGAATTTTATTGTGCTTATTTTCTAATATTGTAGAATTTTATGTGACCGCACGTTCATTAATTTGTTCACGTTTGGCCAAGGCTGGTGCAATTCATTAAATAGAAACACAAAAGTAACTTCCAGAGGCGCAAATGTAATTTTCAATAACCTCTCGTTATCGTTGAATAATGCATTTTACCTTTTCGCACGACTTTAAATGGTCGTGATGAATTTGTTAAAAATAAAATACACTTTTGATCATGTTCACGCAAGAACGTGCATTACCATTTTACTTTTAATTTTTTCCTAATATTATGCAAAAAAAATTATTGTTCACACTCGATCAATTTTTTGTTTTCAGGTGACGGAAATTCGTCGGACGCGACCAACAACAACAATAACAACAACGATGACGTTTCCGCGAGTCAAAAAAAGCGCTCGACCAAATTTGTGGACGTCGACGCTTTTCTCGAAGAGGCCGCCCAAGCTCCTGCAGACTGCGGATCGCCCATGGAACTTCCGCCTTGGTTCGATTTGGAAAAATTCAAAAGGTCTCTGTAATTAATAGCTATTTTTTCACACACAAAAACGAATTAAATTAGGTACATGATATATTAAGTTAATTGGTGAAATTTAAAAAGAAATTTTCTTAGTATAATTTCAATTTGCCGAATAAAAAGAAATTAATTAAAAATTTATCCACTCTGCACTGAAAATTTTAAATGAGAAAATTTGAAAATTTTGAAAATTATTAAAACTTATGCAAGGAGAAAAAAATTGACGTATTTTTAATCAAAAGCAATTTTATTTTTTATTTCATAATTCGAAAAGTTTTTTAATCGAAGATTGTGAGACGATTCAGTTTTCTTCTCTCTGCAAGTTTCACGTGTGGCAAAAAAATTTATATGAGCTAAAGTCAATCAAATCTCGCTGTGCGGCGAAGGATTTCTTTTTAATATCAAGAATTTAATAGAAAATCTCTTTTGTTATCGCATTTTTCTTAATGAATTTTTTTAGGCAGCAAAGGAAACTAAGATATAAAATAATTAAACCAGCTTATCGATACTCTAATTGTAAGACAATTTCATGAATAAGAAGCAGAAAATTTTTACGTAGATTGCCCAAATTTTGTTCTAATTTAATATTTTCTAAACATATACTTTTGATAATTCCAATGACGCACATTACAGGATTTTATTATTTATTTAAAAAAATTACAGGGGACAAGAATTCATGCGGCGCAACATTTTTACATTTTTGTACTCGAAACTGTCCGGTCTGATGTGTCTTCTCGCCGTGCCAAGTATTCTTAGGGTGTTGAGTTGCACGTCCCAGTCCAGCGAGCCGTGCTCGGCGTTCAACAGGTACTTTTCCACCCTCAGCCACATGATGGAGTGGTACGACGGCGACCTCCTCGAACCAGGATCAAAGTAAGGGTTGTTTTAAATTTATTGTAATTAATTCATTTATTAACTATACCGGCGTGTTTTTACGAAACAATTATGTACTAAAACAAGCAAAATAAATTGTGTCTTGAAAATTATTAGATTATTTGGAAGCAGAAAAAAAATAATAAATTAATTTTTATAACTTTAATTAATGACACAAATTTTAATTTCAATTTATTGACTATGCCAAATAAATACAATTATTTAAGTTTTCATCTTTAAATATTTGTTTGATTAATTAATTTTTATTTTTTAATCTTAAATTCTTCTTTTTTTCAGGGCGTATCAGTCGTTAAAATTAATTCGGAGCAGACACTCGGCGGCGGCCAAACGGTCTCGCAAACTCGGACTAATGTCGCAATTCGACATGATCGTCACGCAGTTCGGTTTTATAGGCTTCGCCATTCTGCATCCCAAATTTTTTGCGCTGCACCGCGAAAAACAAGAGGCGTGGGAAGGAATCGCACATTTTTGGAGAACCGTTGGCTACTTGCTCGGAATCGAAGACAGGTATGTATAAAAATACTTAAAAAGATTTATCTTCGAAATGGGAATAATTTTAATAAGGAATTATCAAATTAAAAACTGGAACATTTTGTATTTAAAAATTAATTTTTAGGTCCAAATTCGTTGTTATAATAACTTCATATTTGAGGTATCTTAAAAACTGTATTTGATTTTTGCCAAAGAAAAAATTTATTTATTTATCGAGCTTTCGATCCTTTATTTTCTAAAAACAATTTGACTCTATTACAGCTTTAAAATAAGAGTAAACAAATTTCTTAACCAAAAATAGCAATAAAAAGCAATATTGATCTTTTGTATTCAAAGAAAGGTGCAGAAAATCAAGTTATTAAAAAATGCAAAGTTTCCTATGGAAAAAAAATTATTTATTAAAAAAAAATTATGTTCCTTATTTTTCAACTTGTTTTATTTTAAAGAAAATAATCATAAAAATGCACAGAGCACAAAATCTCATACGATTTTTGTAATTAATTTGATTACAGATTTAATTTGTGCACGGGCAGCCTCGAAGAAACAAAATCGCTGTGTCTGGCCATCGAGGAAAAGGTGGTCGCCCCCGGACTGAGAAACCCTCCGTCCCATTTCGAGCCGATGGCCACGGCCCTGATCACCGGGATGCAGTGCTTGATCCCTTCGCTCGACTTCCACATGATGATGGCCGTGATCATGGAGGACTTCCTTGGCTCAACGTACGAGCAGAAAATGTCGCTGCGTTCCAAGTGCGGTGTGCTCGAGGTGCGCCTCGTCTTCTACCAGCTTCTGGCCCGCCAGTGGCTCGCAACCGTGTTCCGACCATTTTTCAACGGACTCGTCCGACTGGCCCTGTTCATTGCGGCGCGCTTCCCTTTCATCGCTTACTGGCGCTACGGCAAAAAAAGCGTCCACTTCCACTGACCCAGAAATGCAATCAGAGAGAATTCGGATTATGAATAATGTATTTATTTAAAAAAAATAACATAATCGAGCTGTGAATAAAACGAGCTTATAAACCAATCAACTTGTAAGGAAAATAAATATTTTTTTACACTTGACACCGACTTTGATTTGAAATAAAAGAAGGAAATATTTGTTTGTGTGAATTTAATTTATAATTAATTTTAAATAAATTACATCTATTATTCACAAATGTACAAGATATAGCACAATTCACATATTTATATTTTTTCAAAGTTTTACAGTTTGTCGAATATTCAGATTTTTTTTACAAAACTCGGTCGCAATTTATTCAGGAGGGAGAGAGCAAGATTTTGCATCTCTTGCGGCGCTCGACCAAAGTCCTCAGTCTGTCACTTTGGATTCTGCAGCCCTCGCCATTCTGGAAAAATGATAATTTTTTTTAATATGTCTTGTCAAAAATAAGTGGTAAAATATACTAAAATGCAAATGAACATGACAATTTTAAAATTCATGGTGATTTGAATTTAAAAATCGGCTTTTCCTCGATGGGTTTTTGTAAGTTTTTTATTGTTTCAGAAAAACAATATCCTGCTCTACCATAATTCATGAGCTGCGAAAACATTTTGTCAAAAATTAGTACAAAAATAAATCATTTTTCAAAAATTATTTTTCTTTCCAATTGACAATTTTCCGTGAAAAATTATTTAAATTGAAATTTTATCACAAAATAATTTTTAACAAAAAATTTGACATTTAATTCTAAATATTTTTTAAAAATCAAATTTTCTTATAGTATTTTTGGTCAGAATATTTAAACGTGTGTTTTGAGCGTACCTTTCTCGGCGGTGGTCGAGAGAAGACTAAATTATTTTTCGGTTGGTTTTTTGGGTAAAAGATATGTTTTAGGATTGTTTTCTGAAACAATAAACAACTCACAAAAATCCATTGAGGAAAAGCCGATTTTTAAATTCAAATCACTATGAATCAACCCTCGATCGTGAAATTCTACCACAAAATTTTAAAATTGTCATATTTTAAAATGAAAAAAAAATGCTTATTTGAAATAAATAATCAAGAGATCAAAATGCGATTTTTAGAAATTATGAGAAGGGAAACGTAAAGCCAATTTTGGTATTAAATTTTATTAATTTTCAAAATATGACCAATTTTTTGAAGATTTTATCCAAAGGACATACATTTGGATATTTTCTTTAGCTTTAATTTGTTAGTTCTTATAAATTTAGTCCAGTCTCATTCATTTTGCAACGTGGGTTTTCATTAATTAAAATTGAAAATTACCAACTTGAAATAAAAATTAATCTAATATTGAAGAACTTCAAATTTTTAAAAAAAAAAAGACCTACTTGCAAAAGCCAGGGGTCGCTGAGGCACTGCTGGGCGGTGGCGCGGGCCGTGGTGTCGAGCTGGAGGAGGCGGCCGATGAGGGCGCGCGCCCGCTCCGAGACGCCGGCCCAGAACTCGTGCGGGTAGCAGAAGTCGACGTTGAGGATGTGCGCGGTCGTTTCCTCGGGCGAGTCGTCCAGGAAGGGCGACACGCCGCTCAGGAAGGCGTACAGCACCGCGCCCACGCTCCACATGTCGCTCGCGCACCCGCCGCCCCCCGTCCGGCCCCGCTGCACCACCTCCGGCGAGCAGAACTCGACGCTCGACGGCTGCAGCTCGGCCCCGGCGTGTCCGTTGCTGAAGAACTCGCTCTCGTCGCCCACGCACTGCGCGTCTCCCAGGTCAACAATGCGCAGCCGGCCCATGCCGGCGTTGTTCGGCTCCACCAATATGTTTTCGGGCTGGAATTTGCAATAGAAATTTGATTAAAATTCATTTTTATTTTCAATTTACTAAAATATCAATTTTTCAAGATAAACTCTTTTATTTAATGCACTAAAAATTAATTATCTTCATTAAAAATATGGATGAAAATAAAATGGTCAGAATTAATTTATAATATCTAATAAATTTTTAAAATTTAAAAACTTCACGTTTTGCATTCAGAATTTTTACAAGTGTTCAACATATTTAAAGAAAATTCTGATCTTTTTTTAAAATAAAAAAGACTAAAAGAAGTTCCTTAACAATTTTTACAAAATTTTTAATCTTCAAATTACACATTTTTATCTTAATAATTTATAACTTTTTCAAATTTTCTTAACAAATTCTAAGAAGAAAAAAAAAGAGAATTTAAAGAGCGAGATAAACTTCGATGTTGCACTTGCTTTGCTTTTTTCAATCAATTTGGGATGATTTTCTAATTCATGATCCTCAGTCTTTTCATAATCTGTAAATGTACCTTTATGTCTAGGTGAGCTACTCGTTGCGTGTGGAGGTAGACAAGGGCAGACATGGTTTGCAGCATGTAGTGGCGAACTGACCCTTCGCAGTAACTTTCCTTTTCGCAAACAAAGCTGAACAGCTCCGAACCTCTGACTCTGCAAAAAAACAGGAATTTCAATTCCAAAATTGTCCAAAATTATTGAAAATATGGCGATTTTAACAATCTAGAAGATTTTGATCTATTTCCAATGTTAATTTAAAACCACCTCTGCTTAAATAAAAAAACTGATTTATTCAGATTATTTTCCGACTCACTTTTCCATGACGATTGCGTCTCGTCCGAGACCGGCAGAGTAGAGTCCGAACGCCTTGGGCAAACTCGGGTGGCCGAGTCGGGTGAGCATTCGGAACTCGGCGATTGTGGCCGCCTCAGACTGTTTTTCTCTCCACACTAGTTTGGCCGCCGCTTCTCTACCAGTCTTTCGATCTCTGCACGCCATCACGACGGCCCGCGAGCCACGCTCCAGCTCCTCGACCACCTCGTAGTGACTCTCAAGCTCAGGCTGTTGCAATTAAAGAATTAAATTATAATTGTTTTTCTCATATCGTTTAGCAAATTGAATAAAGTCAATTCAAGTTATAATATATTTTGTTGAAGATTTTGTAAAAATAAGTATCATTAAAGACTTCTAAATTAAAATAGAAGGACAATAGTAATTTAAAAATTAGAGAATGAAAACTATTTATTATATACTTAATCAGTAAATTTAGTCAAAGTTTTGGATGTTATGAAGATAACTTTAAATAAAATTCATAAAATTATTATTATTGTCCTTTTTTGAACTATTTTCTTTGCTGTGCAAATTTGCTTTGTTTTAACAAAGCAAAAAAAAACAGTGCAAAATCATGTGTCTTTGTTTAAAATCCAAAATTTTTAAAAATTAAAAAAGAATATGATTGACTTCAACAGTCCATATAAATTTAATAAATAAATTTTTTTATCTTTTTCTATTTTAAAATCTGTTTTAATACCAATGGAGAAGGCGGCGAAGGGCAGCTGGACTGGCGACTAGTCTTGCTGAAACTTGGCTTTTTGAACTTGAAGGCCCATGCTTTGCTCGGCGAGCTGGGCGGGGTGGCTCCGTTTTTGTAGAGGTGGTCCGGAGATAGGCTGTTGGGACTAGGGACGGACGGGTGTCGAGGACTGAGTGGGGGCAGCGACGACTGCGGCATCACAAGGTGCTCACCTTCACACTAAAGGAAGAAAATTTTGTCAAAAAATTTAAAAAAAAATTAATTTAAAAAAAATTACAATATTTGCTCCTGCGGATTCGCTCCACCTGCGGGCGCTGGAATTGGTGGTCAGAGTTTTCAGTCCTCCGACGATGGCGTTCAGTCTCGACTGCTTGTTGTCGTTTTTCTGCGGCACCGACTGGAGGCGGGGGAGGCGGCTGATGGCCGGAGGCCGACCCGGCGAAGGTCGGTCCTCGGACGCCGACCTCGGAAGGGCAGAAAAGGAAAAGGCAAGGCTAAACAAAAAGCGGGGACAAATCAAAAATAAGAAGCTGCGATCTAATCTAGAGCCACAACCTTTCAAGTTCCGCTACCTAGGGGGTTGCAAACAAACCAAAAACCAACAGACAAAAAATAAAGGAGGTGACAGAGGTACAAAATGAAACACAAAAGACGCCACGTTTTTCCAAATATCAATCAATTCACCACAGAGAAGGAAAGAACTCGGAAAGAGACTAAATAAGTAAGAAAAACCACAGGCATGATTTTTGGACCTTTCAATTTTTTTCGTTTTTATTCTATTCAAAGTGTTTGTTGTTGCTCTCTTGTTGTTTTTTGCAATATGCGCGCGTATTCTCATAGTTGTTTTTAATTTTTATATACAAACATACAATTAATTTTATTTACAAGCTTCCATCGTATGTATTATATAATTGTTCTTGGCCTCAAAAAATCACCGTAAATCCAAAATGCTCAAAACAATCGAAAAAGCATGCGTTCTCATATCGTTATTGTTAAACTCTTTTTTAAAACGTTTTGCATAGTGTGAGGTTTTGCTCGCAATATGTTTTTGAATAACGAGTACAACTATAGGTTTCGCTTTTTCTTTGTAGTAGTTTTTTTTTTTGGTTATTACTCAAACGCCAATCACCACTTTTTGTTATGCTCATTCACCGCACTCCTCGCTTTGATCCACTTACGCCTCCTTTGTCAGTTCTTTCTGGTGCGCGATCGGCGACTGGATCGCCTTCAGGAAGTCCATCTGCGTCTGCAGGATGGCCTTGATGGTCGCCACCCAATCGTTGCGAAGCGCGGGCGACGAACCCTGACACGTGTAAATCAGGTTCGGCTTCCGCGGGTCTGTTGACTGGATCAAAAATTTGCACTGATCGCCGTCCTCACTCCGCTCATTCAGAGACATTTTGTTCACCTAAAATTCATAATTAATTTTCAGATTACATGAGTTTTATATTGAATTGAGAATGAAATTTAGAAATATATATTTAAATAACATTTTTTTAAATTATTTCAATTCTCAGAAATGTGAATGTTTGTTTGTTTTTGCTTGCCAAATAACCAAATATATAATTGGAATCTACACAAAAATATGTTAATTATGAATATTAAAATTTTCATAAGTTTTCAAATTTATTTCTTATCTTTTTTTATTTGCTTTAATTCACTTTAATTCTTTCTAAATGATAATTCTGTGTTATTCTTGAAAAAGAAATTAGCGGAAATTGATTTAATGGTGAAATTTACCTGCACATGTCCTTTGTAAATGTAGACGGGGTTGGTGAATTGTGTTTTGCGGCCGACGGCCTCACTGAAAATCATGCTTTGCTCAAACAGGAACACTTGCAGTTCTTTGCCCCGGAATCCTTGGGCGGCACTTCCTTCCATGCACGTCAACGGGCCGTGCATCATCAGTTTGCCTTGCGCTGTGATTTTACCCTGCAATGATTTCACATTAGCAATTAAGGAACTGGACGGAAAGTTTCACTTCCAACCTCAAATCCTTGCAGTCTGCCGACGTCCATCATGTCGTTTGCAGATTTGGGCACGATTTGCATGATATGGAAAGCAGACTTCAAGGCGTTCAGCTCCTCTTCGGACACGTTGGCCCGCTCCGAGTACTTGAGAATGTCCTTCAGCATCAACTGATACTTCATTATCCTCTGAACGGGTTTGATCAAAAGATCGGCTAACTGTAGCTTATGACCTAATTTTTGACGTAGCTCCTGAAATTTCAAAAAATTAATTTCATGGCAAATCATATAAATTCAACCTCTTTTGTTAAAAAATTCTAAGATTTTGTCAGTTTCCTGAAATATTTTTGAAAAATATTCTTTCAATATAAAATTTTGTTGAAATTAATTTAAAATTTAAGATACATCCATCAAAATATTTTACTTAGTCAAAAAATTTTAAGCCAATCTACGGACTTTGATAGAAGCAATTAAATTAAAATTTAGCTTGGACTCACCTCAAAGTAGTTTTCTTTTTCTGACACTATAAATTCTGAGACGGGTTTGTTTTGGCAGTACACCACATACATGTGCAGTTTCCTTTCGTATCTCTTAAAAATCAAGCCCAACTCCTCGGGCTTTTCCTCACAGCGCTCAAGAGCTTTCAAGAAGAAGCTGTTGACACACAAAAATATTTAGTTTTGAAATGATTATTCACAAATTCTCTTCCCAAAAAATTGGGATCCATTCGAAGTACAAAAGAATAGTAAACTTTTCTTATTAAATTTTAAATCAAACATAAATTATGACCATTTTTTTTTTAAATAATTATTTTAGTAAGAAAAACTCACTCTCTGTGCCACTCGTAGATGGCCTCGATATTTCCAAACACCATTTTGTCCTTGCCGGCCTTGAGGTCGTCAGGCATGGGCAGGTCGTCCTCCTCAGGGTTGGCCGGGGGCGGCGTCCGCATGAACGTGATGTAGCCCTCGACGACGTCGCGCAGGTCGCGCACGTAGATGCGCTCGGTGTCGAGCATTTCCTGGATCACAAATTGCCTCTTGCGCAGCGGGTCAGTCTTGATGGCGTTGGCGGCCGCCTCGCCGTCCGCCTCCTCCTCGCTCGGCGTCGGCACCACCGCCGCCTCCTCCAACTGACTAGACCCCTTGGACAGCAGGCTGTGCCGCTCCTGGTTTTCCGTGTGTTGCTCCTGAGTAAAAAAATGAACTCGTTGTAAAAAATAACGCTCACGAAATAGACAAATAAAATGCAAATAATGACAATAAATCATATCATATCGTTAAAAAAAATTAATCTACAGTTAAATTGAGAGCAAAAACTCCGGGGGTATTTTGATTTTTGCAAAATTAAAAGTGTTTTAAAATTTTGGAAGAATTAATAAAAATCTCAATAAATTTTAAAAGAAAACAAAGATTTAGGGAAACAATTTTTAAAAAGAAATTACCATTTTGGAAAAGCACATTTACAATGAAATTTAAAACACCAATTTTGATAACTTGAATTTGTTAAATAAAAATTGCTTTTAATTCTCTGGAGTCGAGGCATATCAATTATCAATGCATTAGACATTTAATAAAATCAACATATACGTAAGTAACAAAAAATGCATGTAAATCCTGCAAACTTAAGTCCAGTTAATGTGGACTGAAGTGGTGTGGATAAAACAGCAAAACGAGAAGCCAAGATCAATTTGCTTAAAAATAACAATAGCCGGTGCAAATAAGTTAAAATAATTATAAGGAATCATTCTTAGTGCTCAATAAAAAAAAGGGACGAATATGCTAGAAATTTTTTTAATTAAGCTTTAAATTTCAACTTGATATGTGATACAATTTTAAATTTATCATTTTCAATTACTTTACAATGTTGATTAAGGCAAAATATCTGTTGGACTTTTCCCTGATCCAACTTTGGAATTAATTGGATTGATTAAAGTCATTTTTATCAACAAGGAAAATCACCAAGAATGACTCTTTAAAAGGCAAAAAATAGCGATTAAAAACACATTCATTGACGAATGAGTCGCAAAACTAAAAATAATAAATATAAAAAGTCATCAACAAGCCGCAACGGTCTGAAGCTGCGTCAATTTGAGAACTGAGCAACAGCGAGAGCCACTAAAACTGCAAATCAAATGTAAAAAACGTTTGTAAATTTCGATCACATGCAGATTTTGTGTTCATGCAGAGTATGATGGACTGCCAACCATTCGCTCCTTGACAATCTGCTCGATCTCGGCCAAATCTGCCGACGCGCCGTCCAACGCCTTCAAAGACAAACTGGACGCCTGCAAGTAAACATTTTCAACTCCGTCCCTCTCCGAATAAATTTTTTGTGTTTCGCCGCCTGGAGAAATTACGTAAAAATAAAATTTAATAAAAAAAAACTCACCCTCTTGGCCTGAGAGTCGTCGCCGCCGTTGGCGCCGCCCAGAGCGGTGGCGCCGCCGATCAGCGAGTCCGAGATCGGCTTCATCGGCGGCGGCAGTTCCAGGGTCTCTTCCTCGGCGTCCTCGGCGCCGTTCAATTCTGACGACGGGCCCGACGAGACGCTCTCAGCTTCCGACTGGGTACTGCTCGGTCGTCCGCTGTCTGTGCTTGGAACCTGAAAGTTGCAGAAAAAATATTTTTATTCTGTAAACATTGCAAAAGAGGAATTTTGATATTTTGATGTAAGATTAAATGATAAATAATTTAAAGAAAATTGTTTAATTATATAGTTTTATTTTAAAACTCTAAAAAGAGGCGCAAGGACAAACAATTCTATAAATTTTGGTTTTTTTTCACTGCTTGGTCTACAATTAACAGTTTTCTGTGATTCTTTAATTATAAATAATTATTGAAGAAAAAAAACTCATTTTCATTGTTTTTTTTTAATTTTACTGTTTTCCGTGTTGAATTAAATTACTCTTTGTTAAAAAATAAATAAAAACGAGATCAAATTAAAAAAGGGATAAACGGGTTGAAGCCTTTGTCTGAAGCCAGCAAAAAAAAACGATGATTTTGTTAATAAAGTTGAACCCAAAAATAAAAAATAAATATAAAAATAAAAATTGGGTGGTGCCTTCTGTACCAGCAATAAAGGGCACAGACTGACAAGACTTTGTCTCGGCCTGACCCTAAAAATAAAATTGAAAAAAAAAATAAACAAATAAAGTTTAATTATAGAGATCTGCTATTTTCACCCATCTCTATATTTCCTCCAATTCAAAATTTAGTTCATGAAACAGTGAAACACAAAATGAAAAGAACTGAAAGCCAATGTTTTTAGAATTCTAAACATGTTTGATTGAATTCTGATTTTCAATTTTTCAACAATTAAAAATTGCTGATCCGATGCATAAAAATTAAAATTGAAAATGGTGGTTTCAATGAAAATTCAAATTTAAGATTTCATCTTTTGAACTTGCAAATCTCACCTTAATTCTGTTATCTGAGGAAGTCTTCTTGAGAGGGTTGTGTGTTGGAATGGTGGAGTTGGGTCCTGGACTGGAAACCGGTGGCTTGTCTTGCAGGTTGCCTTTGCTGAGTTTCCGGAGAGGATGCGGGAACCATTTTCGTCTGAAAATAACAACAATTCCGATTTCCGATGAGTTTTCGCTTTTGAGATGAGGCCAAATTTATCATCAGAGCTAAGGGAAATGAAAAAAAAAACCGACTTGCAGCAGCAAATTCGGCCACACCAGCCATCGTCTTCGGCCGACCCCATGTTTTTTTACTTGTGTACAGACTGCCAAGATAATCAAGTACGATTTTTTCATTTTCATGACAGTTTATCAAGAAGAGGGTCTAAAGATAAGGACGGTGTGTGTGTCGAGCGAGAGGATGTTCTATGCGGAAATGAATGCGAGCGCGCAACAGGGCGTGGCAGCGCTAAATTGCTCAGGGGACCATCAAGTGACGATTGATTATCTTAATGGGAAGGAAATTCCGCTGGTAAAACTAGAATTTTTGATAAAAAAAAGAGCACTTGTACAAATTGATTTGTTCAGCATAGAGGAAAATATTGTTGTCAACTTAAGAAATGAATAAAAAGAGAATATAACCCAGAATTAATGGGCAATCATTTATTCATAAATAATTTATTAATTAGCAAATAAGCTGCTGATATTTTGTGATTATTATGTATTTCAATCAATCGGCATTTTAAATTTTTTTTTCTTTTTTGCTCCATTGGAAAGTTCTAGTGGAGATTTTTAAACATATTTTTTTTATTAAATTATAAAAAATTTGAAGTTGGGTACGATTTGATTGTAATTTTATAATAATATATAAATTATTTTCAATACTTTTTTCAGCATGGTTAATAAAAACTGAAATTATATTAATTTATTTTCACTGAAAAAAGCTCTGATTTTTTTTTTAAATCAAGGTATTTAAATTTTCCATAGAGTTTTTTCACACTAAAACCTAAAATTTCTGAAATAATAAGCTTGAATTTACTTCATCAACTTCTAAATAATATTATTTCCATTCAAATGTTCATAAAAGTTGACATGTTCCATTTTTTCTATATATTATTAAGAAGTAAAAAAAAAAAAACCGTTGCAAAAGAGCAACTTTTGGCCTTTGCTGTAGAGTACATTATTGTTTTACGTCTGGGACGAATATTATTATTTGAGATAAGATAAGCGTGTTGATGGTTGACTCACCCTCCGAACACCTTTCTCTTGTTGACCGGCGAGTTGGTGGCCTGGTGGGTCGCGGAGTCACTTCCAGTCGCACCCTCTGCAACACAAAATTGAAACAAGTGTGAGTCGACGTGAGTTAATTAATTGCGCGCGGTCCCCTCGGTGATTTAAGTGGCTAATTCCGAGGGCGGTGTCAGCGTTAATAATTGTAACGTGCATCGTGGGAAGGGCTGAGAAGCGCCGAGGCTGATAAAATTAAAGGGAACGGCGCGTCGCGGCTTCTTTCTTTATGCTTCTTTATAAATAGATCATCTCTCGCGTGGATATTTTGCCCAATTTTTTCTCCTCCGACGCGAGTGAGACGCCGTTAAAATTAGCAAAGTGCGCACAAAAGTCTCTTTAATGTGTCGGCTTTTGTTCAAACGGTGCCGTCAAACAATGCGTTTTCAAGTCTATCAACGTTCCTAGTTTCAAAAAGTACTAGACATTTTTCAAACGCAAATCAACAGCGAGACTCCAGATACTAAAAAAAGTTCAAGGAGTTCGAAAAATTTACAAATAAACTCAAATTTTGAATTCAAAATATGCGAATATTAGAATTTGATCTTTGAACCATTTAATAAAAATTTCAGCTTATAAGTTTTAAATAGAAATAAAAAGTCGTCAATCATTTCATTTTGGTATTTGTGGAAAATTATATTATTTTAGAGTTTATTTTTAATTTCAATTTCAATCAAACGTGAAAATATGTTGAATTATTACATTAACAAAGGTTATAAATTTAAGATGATGAAATTTTATATTATTTAAAGAAAAACATTAAAAGTTATTGACAATGAGTAAAGTTAAATTTTAAAAATTATTCCGTTTTTCCATTAATTTATGAATAGGATTATTTACATTTTTGTTTTAACATTTTTTTAGACCAATTATTGAGAATTAATGAAATTAAAGCACGTCCCAGTTTAAAATTGAATTACTTTTAATGTTTTCCTGTATCGATGCCTCTTTGAATCATCGAAAGGAAACAAATTTGCCCTGATTTAATTCAATTTTGTTATCTAAAAAAATGGTTAGATTTTAGATTAGTTTTGTCCTCATTTCATAACACATAAATTATTGTAAAAAATAAGTACAGCTCAGAAAAAAAACCGCGAGAAAATATTTAATTGCTTTAAAAAGTATGTATTTTTCTAGTATTTTTCTTGCTCACTTCACAAAAATTTTTACTTTCAAGAGACTTAAAGCTGCACTTAAAATAAGCAACAAATCTTGAGAGAGCTCATTGGCCAATCTCAGTAACTAAGGCGCTGCATGTTTGTTTTCAATTATCTCTCTTGTAAATCAAAGGGAAAGAAGGCGCATCTTTGTTGTTTGCTCTTGGCCGATTCTTGAACTTTTTTTCTCTAGATCAATTTTAGACACGGCCAAGTTCAGCCTCCGAAATGCGCAGCTAAATTAAAACCGCTTTTTATATTATTTTTTATTCTGGCTGGCTCTTATTTAAAGGCATTCCATGCAGCCTCGTGACACACTTCATTTCGCAGAACAATTCCGAATGGGCGCCTATTTTCTCAGCACGCATTTCGTTTAATGGCCACGGAATTTATTTTCATAGGACGCGGCGCAACAAGCACAAAACCTGCACCAAGAGCGGCGGCCAAAATTAGAAACGACGGCGACGGCCAATTTATAAAAGACGAGCGAGAGGGAGACAAATTAAAGTGGGCCTGCTTTTGGCGAGCGGGAAAAAAATTTATTCGGCGCTTTTGTGCGAATTTGCACTTTCATCAGCCCCCGAGAGTGAAGAAAGGAAAACGGAAATCTGGGTCATCCGCGAGATAAGACGAATTTTGCTCTTTTGCACGACCCTTGGCGATGCAGAAAGAAAGGGAGATTGGCATCCATCGTCATTAGGCCCTGAGGTGCTTTGAACTAAACAATCCCCTCCGAAATGGACACACCACTCGAGAGATGCAGCGCGCCGACGGATGCAGGTCACCCGCCCGGTCAGATGATCTATGCCGCGCGCGCGCGTTTATTTTCGGTGCATTTTCAGTGCGAGGACAAACATATATATTTGTGGCGTCGTGCATGTGATTAGGGCAGAGGCCCTGCTTGCATGGGTGAGCGCAAATGACCGGCTAAACGAGAGTAAAAACTTGATTAAATGCTTAAATTTTGATCAAAATCTTACACGGATTTGACAGACTCGAAAGAAAACTTGAAAGTTTGCATTACAAATTGAAGGGAGTTGAAAATTTGGTCAGAGTAATTTATTATTTGTTTAAAGAGAGGCTTTGGTAAAAATTGATTTTAATGGTAATTTTTCTATCCATTAGCATTTGGTTTTAAATGTCAGTTCCAAGAAGACATAGTAAGAAAATTAGAGAAATTTAATTTAATGGGAGCGCTGATTTTTTTTCTTTGTTTTTTTTATGAGAATTTTCTAAAACAATAATTTTTTTCAAAATTAGCCGTATTAAAATTGAAAAACTTTTTTTTAGCGTAGATGTCATAAGCTCCTTGTTGATATTCCACATTTTTACTTATTGAATGCCGCATGACGAAGTTTTGAAAATTTTATATATGTAAATTAAATGAAAAATATTTTATGCGTTTTTCATAAATTATGATAATCAAAAAAACTTTATTTATTCAAAGTTATGATTTATTTTTTTAAATAATTCCATTTTCTAATGAAAAGTTTACTAATAATTACAGTTATCTGGGAAAAAATTAAATTCTGTAAAAAAAATTGTAGAAAAAGTCTCAAATAAGTCCAGAAATTTAATCTTATTTTATAAAAGGGTCTTTTTAAGCAATTTAGAATCAAAATATTGCCAAATGTTGTCGAATTTGCAAAGAGAAATTGCCCAAAATGCATTGTTGTGGAGCGCAAAATAATCATAAAAACCTCCTCACCAGTCTAACAATAGGGCAATTGAGTGTGGCTATAACTGTAATACCACGTTGTAAACGCATCAATTTGCATTTAACTGACTTTGCAAATAAACAATTGATTAATAGGCTCTTTATTACAGTACTTCATCCGAGTTGTTTGTTTTGAAGAGCGTTTTATTTATTCGTTATGCATTACATCGCAAAAAGTACCAAAGCGTACGAAAAAGTCTAATTAAATTGTTTTTCAAGGAAGTTTTTGCGAGGCCCAATTTACTTTGTGACTCAACACTGATATTGGCAACGCAGCTAGACATCTTTGAAGTGGATATTAACACTTCAGTGTCACCAAAATGAGTCACACGTCCATGTGGATAGCAGGTGGATGAAATTTGAATTATTGCAAATTAATGGAAATCACAAATTCAATTTCTAATACATATTTTCACTGATTGCATTTCGCGAAAATAAAAATAAATAATAAAATGCAATTACAATTAATAAATTAAATTGACTGAATAGAGATTATTTGATTTGATCTACAAAAACATTTTACTTTTTCAGATTGACGTAATTTTTAAACTTTGGTGACAAGCAGGATGTTTTTCCTGTTTTTTTTTTAATCTCCTTTTCCTTTACGCGCAGCAAACGTGAAGTTCAGCCGGTGCGTGGCCAAACCACCGCGATTTGAATATCGGCGGAGATGGTTGTCAGTCGCGTCAGTCTGTCTATTTCCGGCTGCATTTTTGCGAGCGAAAAAAGCTTTTCGCGCAAGTGAAGGAACGAACGACGAGGAAGCTGGGCAATAATTGAATTTCTCGAGACGCACAGCAGGAAGTTGCTGGTTATTTGCGGAGCCCGAGACAAGAAAGCCCAAGAGAGAGAGAACTGCGGCGCCGGAACTTTTGTCAAAACAAAATTATACACCTCTGCTATTTCGGGGCGGGCGAAATTAACGCCAATTTGTCATTCCGCTCGTTTTGCGTGGCGGTCCAGAATTATATTTTTAAAAGAGAGAATCGCGCACGCGATACATAAATGCAAGGGGCCGCCCAATGAAATGGGTTAATGGACGATTATTTCCTAATTATACGCGTGCAGCACCGAGTCACAGAATAACAAATCACGCTAATTGACCGCGAATGACCTCATTGCGCTCAACTCTATGGAACGAAATGCGGGCGATCCACGTGGGGAAAGAATCGAATTTCACTTTTGTGCTGTGAATTTGATTATTTTTAACGCGCTGACCTCACGAGATGACTCATGGAATTTTTTTTACATATTTATTTGCGTCCTTGCGAATCTTTCCGAGTAAAAAAAGGAGACAGATAAGCAGGCAGAGCTCGTTTGATAATTTTTGCCTATTAAGGAGACGACCATATTATTCTCGATCGCTTAATGGCCGGTGTAAATTTAAAGCACGTGACTCGCCAAGCAAGCAATTCAAGATAAAGATAGAGACAAGAGTGAGTCTTGCGATAATATATGGAGCTTGCTTGGAAATGTCGTCAATTGTATTAATAAGATTGAATATTTCTCAGAGGAAGAGTTTTTGCGCGAAACTGGGGGAAATTGTCAGAATTAAACGAAATTCAAAATGTTATTATTTGTCTCCTTAGTTGAAATTTCTTCTACGAGTAAAATTTTACAGTGAGCATAAATTTTTGCAAGAAAGAAAAATTAAATATATTGTTTCAATTTGTAACACTTTGTGATTAAAACTGTATCAATGAGAATAAATTTTAATGATCTTCATAAAAAAATATTTTATTAAAAAAATTCTTAATTATCTAAAAAGTATCATATAACATAATAAATGCAACGTAAAATATATAATTGTCAGAATTAGGAATCCGAACCATGAGAATTTCCAATGTTCACATTTAACTTTCTTATCCGAGGTCAAAGAAAAGTGACAATTTTACAGGAAAGTTGTTGAGCATGAAAATTACGGAACCAGATAAGAACATCCTTTTTAAAATTAACCATTGCGTGAAAGATAAAAGTGACATTAAAATTCTGTAAAACAAACAAGAACTTTTTGAATCCTTTTAAAAGATTTTACATAATTTATTGAAAGTAAAAAATAAATGACGCAAAATGTTGAAGACCTCATGCTAATTTTTACTTTTCAATAATATCTTGAAAGAGTTTATGTGAATTATCATTTTATTACGGCTTGAAATTATTATT